TAGAAAAAGAAAAAGCATCAGAGCAAATAATAAATAAACTACAGTTCATGTCATGTCAGCAGGCAGAGGACCAAACAAACTGCCAAAAAAGAAGGAACATGGAAGGAAGTCGAGCTCTACTGACTGCTCAATACTCAGTACAGTACATAGTCCAGTTTAAATCTGAATAATGCACCTAAATAAATCAAATATTAATATTATGTGATTTGAATTGGATCATAGAATTTAGAGAAGAGAGAAGACGAAGAGAAGCTTGTTGATTGACAAAGTAAATAAATAAAATAAATATATATACATAAAATAAATAAACATTTTTTTGCTTGTTTTTCTACCATCTAGGCGAAGCTTATTTTATGTATATATCTTATTATATATACATCTTATTAATCTGTAGAGAAGTTCAATATGAAGCTACAAGCCAAAGCTTGATCTTCAAGCTAAAAAACTGTAGAAATATATATGTATATAAATACTTTTTATATTTTTTATATATTTTTATTAGCTATACAAACTATTTTTAATGTGATGCGAGTCTATATACAATTAAGAATTCCCAAATTCCAAGTTTTTATCTATGTTTATATTTCTAAATATATATAAATTTTTCTCTGTCAGAGCTTCAAAAAAATTCAAAACCAATAAACTCCTTTGCACTTCGTGAACGAGTAGAAAACGGACTGGAGAGGAAGAACAACAAAACAGAAACGAAATGAAACGATACGAAACGCAAAGAAACAAACTACGACGAGTTATAAAGATGCGTGTAGTTAAATTAATGAGTTCTTTAAGTTGGGTAATTTGTACGGGCCGAGAGTAATTGAAATGGGCGATATGTAGAATATTCACGCAAGCTTAGGCGGGCCTTGAGTTAAATTAGGAATGATATTGACATAGACATACAGCAATTTTTAGCTCAATAATCCAGAGCTGCACAGCACTGAATCTTGCCAAGTTAAGCAAATGGTATTCAATGTATGTATGTCTAAAAAATCTAACATTTTTAATCTTTTCTTTAATAGCTTTACTGGTTACTGTAGATTTCTGATCAATTGCCATTGTTGCTTTGACTTATCATAGACTAAAAGCCTTTCGGCTACACAACACAGGTAAATTTCGACAGTTATGCAACACTAGTTATTACAGATTTGCAGCTAAAGTCTAATCGATATACTGTTTTCACAGCTATCTATGTTTCCTTTGCTGGCAGCCGGAGGGCGCGCACTTTAACTCCAATAAGCCGAATGGCCCTGCGGACCGCGTTTCATCAAACTCAAAAATGTCAGAGAATCGCCAAGGGGATGGGCTACAGCTGCTGTTTGATTTGGATTGCTTTGGCACGTGCGCTGGGCACGGGTATGGATGGGCAATCGCATATGCGCGATTTATATGGAAGCCGAGTGCTCTGTTATTGCAATATTGGTAAAAGCCGTCGATGATGACACGACTTCAGCGCGGCGCGAGCAGCTTCAACTCAATTATCAAACTTTGGATGCCGATGCCAGTTGGCTCAGCCACCGGCCGGCCGGCTGGCCGATTGACGCGCTGTTTCAGTTCAGCTATTCACTCATCCAGCCTCCGGTACTCACACGTGCAGGCATATTTTTCGAATAAACAAGCACCGTGCCAGGACTCCGTGTCCGTGTCAGTGTTCGTGTCTGTGGCTGTGTCTCTGCCTGTGTGGGGGAGTGCGAAGTTGGTAGCGTTGGGCGTTCGCACAAACGGCAAACGGAAATGGATTTTTGATTGAGTGCACAATAAAATGTGAAATGCATTTTACAGCTGAAAAACAGGCAACACAAAAACCCACACATGAAACAGAAGTTTAGCCATACACATATATATATATACGTGTACTTCCAATACTTATCCATATATCTGCATATACATATATACATTTGCCATACGCGTATTTATTTTATATCTTTCCTTTTGGCTCGGTCCGAAATTGTTGCAATTGAAATGAAACTGGATGTGCGGCATTATTGCAAATTGAGCGGCGAGCCAAAGCGTTTGCCCTTTCGTATACCCCAGCCGAACCAGCCCCGGCACCGGCACCGGCACCGCCCTCGCCTTGCCACGCCTCCAGTACCATTTTAATTTTCGCTCAAAGTTGCGATTTATTTGCTTTGGCTTCCATATTGATACCGCCTTCATGAAAGTCAATTTATTTCATTATAAAGTGCATAGGTTTTTGGGATCTCTCTCTCTCCCTCTCTCTCTTCTTTTTATGGTGCATATTTGGCCAAATTTATTGGCCTCATGGCTAACAAATTGCGAACACAATGTCGAAAAATTATTGCCTCGACGTAGTCAACGTCATTGTGCAATAAAAATGAAAATGAAAACCCGGATATATATGCAACTGCCGATTTCAATACCCTTTAAACAGGTATGGGGAATACCTATGTATGAAGATCATTTCAAAGTCATGTACCTGAGCATAAAGCACGTGTTTATAACAGCAACTCTTGAAAGTTGTACTACTGCATAGCATGTTAAAATTATCAAAGAGTATCTTTACTTCTAATAGGGTATCTATAAGTCTAAAAGAAGAAAACCTGCGCTAGTCAGAGGACTTCAAATAAATTGCTAAATGTGTTGAAGCTCAGAGAAATATCAAAAAATATAGAACGATTAAAAGCAATTTACAAATGGATTTATTCAAAGATTCATTGATTGAGAGCTAATTAAAAGCTTTGCATGAGAGCAGTACATGAAAGTGGACAGATTGAGAAAAATATATAAAAATTTACTGTAAATAACTGTTGTTAAAAGTCGAGCCATGCCGTAGGGTATTGAGAGAAAGAGTCGCATTTGGCTATATCTTCAAGATATTGGTTCTGCTTAGCATAAAAGTAAGTCAATATAGCAGACGAGCAGGAGGGCAGGGAACGTGGTGAATGTATTTGGCATTCAGTCAGTCACATGCACAAACGTTGCCAATTTCGATATATGTATTTGCCCCTGGCCAAATTGTGTTGCCAAGTTCTTCGGCTGAGGACATGCGTCTGCCATAGCTATCGATGACTGCGACTCAAGCTGGAGCTGGAGCTGGAGCTGGGGCGGGGGCTAGCAAAATTTGGTCTAGACGTTGTCTAATGACAAACGCAAACCACAAAAGACGTTGGCTGAAGATGTTATGCAAGTCAGTCAGAGCCAAGTCAAATGGAAATGCCCTGCTTTGCCCTGGTTGCTGCCCTAGTCCTGTCCTGTCATGGCCCTCTGTGCCAGCAGTTGAATGCAGAATAAATAAAATCAACTTTAAATAAAACTCATCGATGACTGTGGCTGTGTGGCTGTGCTCTGGCTAATTCCTATTGACAAAGGCAACGAGCACATTTCCCAGCTGCGCACCCAGGCGCATCCATCTCGAATGGCCAAGCACAAGAGATGATTCCAAATTCATAAAATGCATGCAAAATGAACAAATCAAATGGCTGAATAGACCAAAATGAAATTGGCGCATCATCATTATTTATGCGGAACAAAAAAAAATCAAAAAAATAATAAAATAAAACACAAACAATATGACGAAGCTGTTTAACTTTGAAAACTTTTAAAGCACCTACTTTTTTTAGAAATAATTTGCATAGCAGAGAAAAGATGGCCATTGCGATTTGGCGAATTAATATGCGAATGAGCCAAATAAAGAGAACTTCAACAAGATTCGCATCTAGTGAAATTTCTTGCTTATTTCTCGCTATAAAATAGAAATGTTTGCCCAAAAGCAGTTTTAGTATTATTTCCGAAACGAACATGATGCGGTCTATCAATCTGCTCTGTGGAGGTGCGTTAAACAATATTGTAAGAAATAGTCTTTGTTTTTGTTCCTCACCTAAGTTAAGAAAAGACAAAATAGTGAAAAGTGTCTTCAAATTATTAAGTTTTATGTATGAGTGTTGAGTGAGTGTTCCATTGAAGCACAGGACAAGAGGTCAAAGACTATAAAGAATTGTGACTGGCGATGTTTTTGAATACTTGGAAAGAAGCTAAAATAATTCTATTAATAGCTTATAGCTTTATAGATCTGGTATAGGAATTCAGTACATAAATTAATAAGCTTCGGCCATGCTAGTAGCTGGTCCAGAGACGTGCCCTTGTGGGCGCCTTAAGTCTGCTGGCAAGCATTAGCTTTAGCTCTTCGAACAGAGCTGAATCTGAGCAATCAATGAGTCGAGGCACAAGCTGTCGAATAATGCAATTTGCATAGCAACTTAAACTACAAAGTAGTAGCTGCCAAGCCAACTCTTCCAACAATGACGAGGGATCAGGTTGCCGCATCTGAACTGAAGCATGCATTATGCTGTGTCAGCCAAGGCGATGTGCGAGGGTTGCCTATTAATTTGTATAAAAAAGGAAGGCTGAGTAGTTGTAAATAAGATCAACTAGATAGTTTAGCCCATAATAGATTGTATATAAGAATTTTCAATTAAAATTAATTGAAAATTAGTTGCAATGCTTCAACAATTTAAGGTCGCTAAACACACTAGAAATTTCCAAAGCCAAACGACTTCAGTCGATCAAATACTCAGAAACCGAAATGGGGACAAGGCCAGCATTGGCTATTGCTATAAATGAGTTTGTTAGAATCATCCACAAATTCCAGGAAAATTGAGCTCGAATGTTTTTCGCGAAAACCCAAACCCAAACCCAAAACCCAAAACCCAAAACGCCACAGAACCCAAAAGTCGCGACATGAACAGATTTCCAATTTCGGCGCTTAGTTGGTAGCCGTAATTAAGGCTTAAGACTGGACACAGCCGGCGGGGTCCCAGTCATAAAGCCATAAATGAACTAAGGAAATACCCAGACAATCTTTGTGGAAAATATTCCGAATGAAAAGCCTGGAAGCGTTCTTTATGATCGCTACACGCGCCCGAGCACATGCGCTAATGAGATGCACTACCTGGCTAGGCGGCTACCTGCATAGTATAAAAGAAAAACGGCTGCAAGTCCTGACACTAAACGCGCAAGAAACGTCAAACTGTCAACAGTGAAAGATGAGCAGCCACAACCCGGAACAGAGAGCGGAAAAGAAGCGACGCAAACAGCTCAAAAAGCACAACTCCAAGACCAAACAGCAGCAGGATAAGCTGAAGAGACATACTAAAAAGCGACTCAAGATGTCAACGGGCAACATTAGCTTCGACTATCGGCTGTTCCTGTACCGCCAGGAGTTACGTCGATCGAGTACGAACTACTCATACCTGCGTCTGTCCCGCGCCAAGATCATGTTGACCGCCGAGCTAATAGCCAAGAATATGTGCAGCTATAACAAGATGTGCAGCGTCGACGATCTCAAGATGCTCAGTCGCGAGGTGCAGTTCAAGAAGCGGCTGTGCAACCAAGTTGAGCGCCTCGAACAGTTCCAGGAGCTGGGACTCACAGACGTCGTGCTCAATGGCAAGCGAACGGCGCTCTAGAGTAGTTGAACTGTTCATGTGGTTTAGGCTAGGGCTGGGCATTAGCTTAAGTTACTTTTAGGCATTCTAGATTGTAATATTTTATCAAATAAAATATGGCATTTAAATTAGTTTACGTCTTCACAACTATTTTGACCCTTTCAGCTGTGCTGCTCTGCAGCACGCTCTGTGTGGCCCAAGAGGCTGCCAATCCACTTGACACTGCAGAGGCGCTTAAGCTGAAGACTTTGCTGGAAGCCAGTCGAGCGAGCACAACCCAAAAGCCCAACAGCAGCTCCACAGCCAAAACCAAGATCAATTTAGCTGCCAGCGAGGAGGATCACGATTACAATTTTCATAATGATCGTCTGCCTGCTCTGACAGAGGATGAGTTCAATAGCTTAAGCCATGACGCCAATCCCTTGCATTTCCTTAAGCGGCTGAAAGCGCCAGAGACGGACACAACTATAGCTCTGCTAGAGTCTAATATGCCACAAGCTGATGCAACGAAACCCCAGACGCAGTTAATCAGGCCACAGGTAACTGACGCTAGACATTAACAACTCGAAAAACTCGACTCATTCATGGCCTCTTTCTGTTACTTAATCAATTCAACTTATTTCCATCAATGTTCAGGAGTCCAAGCCTGACTCTCTTCCTGGCTCACCCATCTACATCACCATACCCATCTACATCAATACCTCAGGCCAAATGCCGCTTAGCTTGCTCGTTGGCGATCAGGAACTGCAGCTGCAGCGGCGCACTTCAGGGCACAAGAAGAGTCCGTCCACCAAATCGCCCAACTCATACTTCAATCGCTTGCTGGAACAAATTGAGCCGCCCAAGAGGCGTACGACCAATCGACATCGCAGCCAGAGCCGCAGCAAGATTCAAGCGCTGAAGGAGCACATCGACTCGGACCTCTACGAAAATCCCAGCTCTACGAGCATTGAGAACTAAAGGGTTTTTTTTTGTAAAAAACATTTTGTGTATTTGCAAACCTTATGGCTAACAATAAATAGTTGAAATAAATAGTTGAGGTATGTGATTGGGGCTTAGTAACTAGACTGCATTGCTGACAGCTGCTGGCTCTGCGGGCTTGACAAGATTTTCCACTGGAGCTGGAGCTGGAGCAGCCAACTCGATTGGCTTTTCGGGCTGCGTCTCAGGCGTCTCGGGTATTTTGTCCTCCTCCGTGGCAGTTGTTGCTGTGGCAGGCGCGACAGCTGCGGGAGTCTCCTCCTCATCGTCGGCGGCGGCATCAATGACCTGTTCGATGGTTTGCTGTATGAAATGCTCAAACAGCTGGAAGTACTGCAAGGCATTGTTAGCCACCTGCTCGGTGGGCAGGCCGGTGGTAACCTTTTTGAGCGCATCACGTATTAGGACGAGCACGGGCTTACGCGTCGTTGTCACTGAGCTTGTGGTTGGAATTGTGGTGGCGCTCTCAGCAGCCTCAACAGCCTCAGTTACTTCAGCGGGTGCCGCGGCTTCAGCAGGAGCGGGCGCAACTGGAACTTCAGCTGTTGCCTTGGCTGGTTGTTCCTCAACAGCCTCACGACGTCTGCGTCTGATAAACCTTTCCTCATTATCGTCATCGTCGTCTTCATCATCATCATCATTCTGCTGCTTCTGTGCCTCATCCTCATCATCGTCATCATCCTCCTCGTCGCTCTCCGCGCTAGAGTTTTGCGCCTCCTCAGCTTTATTTAGAGCTGGCAAATCACTTTCTCCCACTAAATCATACTCCACTTGCGCGGGTGCCGCATTCACAGCAATGATCAAGACGAGCAGTGCAGCTGTGTGTGGGTGTGGATAATACAAATCCGTACATTAAAGCTGTTATTCTACTGCTACTACCTGCTACTTACCCAGTGTCATGTAAATGTGCTTAGCCATATTTGCTGCTTGTTTTGGGCTAATCCTTATGGTATGGTACGGGCACGGGAACGGGGCGCAGTTGACTTTTGCAGTTTTGCGGTCTTTATGAGCGAATCCAGCGCTTTGCTTTCGCTTTTTATAGCCATGCGACGGCTGCGGTTTTGTCTCTAAAATGAAAGTATGCATAAGGCCAGGCCTCGGCCAGGCTGGCGAGCGGGCAAGCTCATTTTTGTACTGGGGGGGAGTCGCTATTCGCTGGTCTCTGGTCTCTGGTCTCCGGTCTCAGAGCCAGACCAGCAGTCAAGCCAACGTTTTTACTGCAGCAAGCTCTCAGCGCTCTTTCTTTCTTCTTTTATTTTGTTTTTGTTTTGGTTTTTTTTGTGCTTTATTTTGTTTTTGTTCAGCTCGTTCATTTTATTTTTCTTCCTCTACGCAACACAAAAGAAACCGAAATCATTTATTCAAAACTCGGTTTCTGGTCACTTCTTTCATAAATTTGTTGATTTATGCTCAAAACTTTTGGCCATCTCTCGTCTATTTGGCTTAGGCATTAACAGCCATTTGCCAGTTGCGGGCGTTACGAGGCAGACTTACTGCTGCTGTTGTTGTTGCTGTTATGGGCATATGCAAATATGTATGTTTACAATTTAAAAGAGTTTTCTTGTTGCTGTACAACAAAAGCATGACGCACCTAATTGACTGATTAAGTTTCGTTTGAACTATCAGTCAATGCTTTGCCTCTGCATCTGCCTCTGCCCCTGCCACAGGCCGTGCCTAATTATGCAATAATTAAGTCCATTTCTCCCACACAATCGCATTTTGAACTTTCTAATGCATCTCAAAAACTTTTCCATAGATCTTAATTTGGAAATCAAATGCATCTGATAACAATGAAAGCAATCAATAGTGATTCACTCTAATATGGAGAAAGCAATTGATCAACAAAATCTGCCTTGCAGATTTTTGTTAGTGATTATTGATTATTCAAATATTATACATATATATATTTTTTACTTAATTATCAATGCATTTATGAATAAAAATGATATATATTATATATAAAATGATATATTATATATATGTATATGAATTAAGTTAATTGTTTTAAATCATCTGATTAATTTCTTAAGCTCTCAAGCTACATTTTATGTGTTCTAAAATTTCATTTTTAATTTTATGATATATAATTTATAAATATTTCACATAAGAATATAACAATATATAAAAAATGACTTATAGAAAGGAGTCTCAGTCTGCTATGGTTTCTCCATCAATCGCAACTGGGTCAAGAAACAGAGATTCAACGATAAGAGCTCAACTTTTTTCCACAATATAAACATTGCTCACAATAATTATCACAATAATCATATAAACAGTGAACAGAAATTGGAAGCAGAAGAGCGAGTCGAATCAGTGCAACAATAACAGAATTTTAGATGTTGATAACAAGCAAGCAGCATGATTGGATGTTAATTTGAAGTAAATAGTCAGATACTTGAACGCACGATGAGCTCCTAAGGCGAAAAGAATTGTCTGCTGGCCGTAAAACAAGATCAGTAAACCTTTCGGATTGACCCAATTCCGGAACCGGCTTTCGCTGTGGTAGCCGCTGCGCTCCGAACGGGTGGGCGGGGACCAGGCCTGGTGGCTGTAAGGTGATAAACAGATAACCAGTTCGAGTCCAACAGCATTCAACAACATTCTAGATGCTCGTCAACGAAGAAGCCAAAAAGGGTATACGGGCATGCGCTGATAAATGGAGACCACATGAGTTTGCATAAAAAATTTCACCAAAATTTCAGCTTTGCGTACTTTCCATGCAGACAAACAGAAACAGAAGAAAATACAGCTTCAACTTATTCTCATTTTTTAGATTACCAAGAAAACCGGTAAAGGAAAAGAAACAGAACTCCCCGCACAGCTGAGCGGCAGCCCAACGCTATGATACTTAAGAGGCCACACAGTAGAAGAAGCGATCAGTGATAGTCAAAGCGAGCAACCGTTAAGATCGTTCCAGCAACACACACACAGACACACAGCTAAATAAAGATGAGACCATATCAGGCTGCCTGCATCGTAGGTAAGTTGTGCCAAACATTTCCAGGTAGTTCGGCATCGAAATCTTAATTTGTCCATTGCAGTGGCCGCTCTGCTGCTGGTGGCACCTGCCGGCACTGAGGCAAGACGTCGCAAGCACAAGGGCGACGACTCTCATAAGTCCAAGGTGAAGTACTACACCTCGTCGGATTTGGATGGTGCCAAGACCCAAGTGGCCACTGAGGAGCATTCCTACTTTATGAAACGCACTTATGCGCCCTTTACGGGCGCTGATGGCAAACGTAAAAGTCCGCCCTACCTGGCCATACCCATTGCCTGGTTCGCCTGTGAGCCAACCAAGACTGACTGCCAGATGGCCAGCAACTCGGCTGCCATCAACAGCGCTGCCAACTCCCTAAGCCAGGGCTATCTGTGCGACGACGACTGCACGGATGCCTATGAGCCCATCTGTGGCCGTACAGCCAGCGAGGTGGCCGTCTTCTACAACAAATGCAAGCTGAATGTGGCCAAGTGTCGTACGCATGGCCTGTGGACCGATCTGCCCTACGATCAGTGCCAGCAAATGTATCCCAAGGAAACGGCCTACACAGACAAGAAATTCAGATGCTCGCCCTACTTCCGTGACAATTCAACAGCTGCTGAAACTGAAGTCAACAGTGAGAGCAATGCCAACAGAGAGAAAAAGGACAACAAGGACAGCAAGGAGAGCAAGGAAAGCAATGAAAGTAGCGAGGAGCAAAAGAATCAGGATAAGAAAGGCAATAAGAACAAACCGCAGAAAGTAGAGCCCATTGCGTTGCCATTGCAAGTGCTCGTAGACCCTGTTCCCGTTCCCACGCCATTGGCTGTGACAGATCCGAAGCCTGTGGAAGCCATTGCTCTACCCCCAATTCCCGTTAAGCTGACTGAAGCCCAAATGCAGCAAGCTGCTAAGCCAGCAGCTGCAGCTGCAGTCCCTCAAATCCCCAGTTCCTTACCCGCAGCTGCGGAACAGGTTAAAATCGAGGTCAAGAAAACTGCCACGCCTGCAGAGCCAATCACGGAACAGGCCAAGCCCAAGTCCGACAAGGATAAACTAAAATATGTGGTCTCTTAAGAAAATGCTACTTCAAATTAAAATTAAAATTTATTTATTTTAGTATTAAATATAAATACTTAAAATTAAAAAACATTTAAATACAAATTATAAAAAAAATATTAAACAACAATTCTTATATGCATTTTATTGTAAGCGTGCCAAGCACGAGGGTGGCTTAAAAGAATTAAAAGATAAAGAAATAAATAACATTAAAATATAAAAAATAAAAATAAAAAACAAGGAAAATATATTTTTAAAAAACTTAAAAAAATGCCTTTGGAAATGCGAGGGCAGTCTGATAAATAAATAAAATTAAAATTAAAATGAATTTGAGACTGCTATAAATACAAATAGAGGAGCATTGCTTCTTTGTTTGTTCTAAGATATATATAAATATATAAAACTATAAATATAAACAATTCCCCAAATGTGTTTCTTCTGAAATATATTCAAAACTAAAAATAATAATAATATATCTAAAATCTCTAATAAATATTTTGATATTTAAAAAGCGCTCAAATATCTTTTAGAGCTTAGATTGCCTTAGTGAAATCTAATGAAAGATAATTTTAAATATATATAAACATTTTTTGTAACTTTCAAATTGAGTTACAGACTTAATCTAATTTAAATGAAAAGCTAAAATTTAAAAATATTTGTATATCTATTCATTAAGTAAAAGAAAGCTGTAATTCCATTTGTATTTTCCCAAAACAATAAAAGCTCTAAGAAAACTTTTATCAACCGTTAACTGATGAAATGTGGGCGGTTTAACTACATAGACCCTTGAAAAAAAAATGCATAAATGCATTTGGGCACATCTGCATAGGTGTTCGGTTCATTGAACTGTCAAACAAGTTCTATGGAAGTTCTAAACGAGTTGATTGACAGTTAAACATATATCAGATCACAAAGAAACAACATAGAGATCGTTACATCAGCAGGTTGTCCCTCGGCCGACCTATAAAAGATCCAAGAAATGCACCCACTGTACACAGTAGCCAAGCGACTGCAATGGCAAACAGAACCGACAGACTCAAATTCTTAAAGCTGCTGCTACTCCTTAGTGCAGGTGAGTAAAGTCTGCCCAGAACAGCAGGTATTAACATCCCGAAACTTGCCTCTTTCAGTGTTCCTCAACAGTGAAGCGGCGCCTATTGATGCCGAAAGCCATGCGGCGACAGATCAACCTAACGTTGAGTCCCGTGCTCAAAAACAGGATCAGGATATTTTAGATCTCGATGAAGACTTGGATGGACGTAGCGCATATGTCAACAATCAGTTTGTGCCCAGTGATCCTGTTGACTTGTTAGACGATGAGCAGAATACGCCGCTCTATGAAATACTGCAAAAGCAAATGGAGCAAGTGCTGGCGTCAACTGGACCCGATGTGCCCATCTATGAGGATGAGAAGACGAAGCGACAGCGCGTTCAACAGCCGCCCAACAAGCCAATCTTTACCACAAGCAATGCTGCCGATGCGGATGAGGATTACGTAGACGAGATTGCGCCAGAGCTGGAGGAGGGTCTGGGCAATGTAGACAAGCCAGATGCAGCAGCAGCTGGCGAGGAGCTGCCCGATGTTGGCTATCAGGCACCACTGCTGCCAAGCTCCACACAATCGCCAAGCAGCACTACCAGCACCAGCACCACCACCAGCACCAGCCCCAGCCCTAGCACCACCATACGTATTCGTCCTCAACGCAGACGTACCACCACACAGATGCCAAGAACAACACGCTCCAAGGCAAGCCAGCAAACAAAATTGACAACCACAACGCCGGCGAATCAAACAGAGCTACCCTCAACGACGACAGCAGCGCCAGTTGCATCCAACAAGCCTCGACCACAAGCGAAGCCCAATCTCAGCTCTAGCAACATGTTGCCACATGATCCACAAATCTACCAGCACAAGCGTCGCATCATCTTCAAAACGATCTCAACCGGCTCGCAGTTCGTCAACTCGCCCATTGGTGATCTTATGATCAAGTTCTCCATAGGCTTCGCCAAGCCAGCGCCGGGCATGGCTCCGCCCTCGAACGAGGCGCTGCGTGCACTTTCTCAAAACTTATTGCGCAGCATAGAGATGCAAAAGCTGAGGAGGATCAATAAAACTCAAAGGCATTAATAAATGATTCTATATTAGTCACATCAACAATCTTTGAAGGTGTATTCGAAATGTTCTTAAGAAGTTTAACAAGGTCAGTGGGATGTTTCACAGAGCACATTATTAGCACAAAGGAAGATACAAGTCTTTAAAGTAGTTGAACTACGAAACCCAAAATCCAAAACATTTCAATCTGAAGAACAAAATAGTCTATAAAATGTTCAACTAGAATTTAGAATTAGATTTTAGCTTTGTTAACTTTGAGTCAGGTATGTTTCGAAATGGTACGTATCCTTGATACACCTGAAGTTATTATTTTTACATATTAATATAACAATTACTTTATGCTGTCTGATATCTGATATGTTCGATGATTCGATGAACCTAAGGCCGACTGTATTTCTAGCCTTAGCTCTTACAAACATGAAAATTATGGAAAACTTTAGTTATTATATGAATGTCAGTTCTCTTGAGTATACTCGTCGCAGTTGCCCCAGTCGTTGTGTCGAGTCGAGTCTATCGTTTGCCTTACATACAAAAGTCAGCTGAATTGCTTATAGCTTGTTAGCAATATGAAAATAGGAATCAGTTTTGAGTGAGAGCACCACGGAGTCTAGCGCACGGGCCAAAATTTGAGAGCTAACAGAGGCATCGTAACTCCAATGACAATTGTCGAGATGAGATTAACGCTGTGATTATCGAGTATGCGTAGCCCGCTCACATGACGCACTCCTTTGCCAGGTGTATCCACTATCTTACCCTTCTCGTTTATGCCAGAGAATTGCAGTAATCCGCCCAGCACAGAGTCCAGCAGCGAGCCACAGAGACCCGCTATGCCACCAAACAAGATGATGGGCCACTGTGGCGGACTAACAAGCAACATCTTGGCCTCAACTGTATAGCGCACAGTGACATAGTAAGCAAAGCCAACGAGCAAGCCGCCCAACAGGCTGACCACGACGCCTACAAGCGAAATACCTCCATTAGTGCCACGTGGCACACGACGCCAGCTGATAATCGAGATGGGGTCGCGTGTGGAGAGCACACTGCCCAGTTCGCTGCTCCAGGTGTCTCCGTTGCAGCAGGCAAAGGAGCTCATCACAGCAATGCTTAGCCAGCTCGATCGGTACTCCCTGGCGAAATCAATGGCACGCTCCCCGCTGCCACAGTCAATCAAATAGAGCAATGCCAGCTGCGTGGCCATGCCACCGTTGCATAGGACCTGCACCCAATTCCGTTGTCCTTCGCCATCCTTGAAGTCGTTCTCGAATCGACGTTTTAGCTGCGCCCGAAACTTGGTCGCACGCGACGAGCTAAAGAAGAACACCACCAGACTAGCGAAGAACGGGTGACTTGCTATGGACAGCGTGAAGGCGACGACCACTCCTAGTGCGGCACCAGATTTGCTCACGGAGCGGCGACGCAGCGCAATTGTCATCAGTGCCAGTGGCGCCAATGTGGAAAACAACCAACGAGTCGGTGATATGACCAACGGCTCTATTAATAAATCGAGTTGAGTCGGCGTCTTATCAGGTAATGCAGTAATTCAATCTTTACCTTCATAATCGTAGCTCCAAAATTTAGAGAATGCCACGTTGCCCAGCCACATGAATATGGAGATGGGCACTGAGAGGCCACAAAATATCAAAGGCATCCAGTCGCCGTTGGCCATTGTGTTCAAATAAAAAATATATTTTCTACAACTTATACTTTCTTTTCAAACGTAAACAAAAAACAGACCAGTTTGTTATTAGTGTGGCTAAGGCGAAATATTTAAAAAATACTAAAAACATTATGTTAGTATTAAATGGACATAGCACAGGGTGAATCAGTAACATACAGCCATTTGAATTGAAGCGCCAAAAAGAGACTCAAAAATTCTGATTTTACTTCGAAAGAAATATATGTACATGTTTGCAGTGTATGTATGTATGTAAATGTAAACAAAAATAAATAACTGACACTTCAAGCTTATGCTTGACAAAATAAAGAAAAAACACATTCCATTTTCATTGATAGATGCTCTCAATAGATTTTTTTTGGGTGCATGCAAATTTATTTCAATAGGCCTAGGCAATTAGTTATTAATGAAAAGTTTGCTTCTAGTTGATCTTATCAAACTAGGTTGTTTCGGCTCTCTGAGCGCGTTTCAATTAAAAATATTGCTACCCTTGAAACAAACTCATCAAGCCTTTTAAATTTATGTACAGTTCAATACTTCGTCTATAGTTCAAAGAAATAAATAAATGTTAAACAATTTATATTCTAGTTTTTTTTTTTGTGTTTTGGTCACAGATAAGCTTAGCATTGGTGTGGCAGAGCTTTATTTATAGATATGACGAGGCTTTCAAGGAATCGCAGAGGTTATCAAGCGCAAATTGCTTCCGCTAAAACACATTGAAGACAATCCAAAACAAAGCACAGAACGCGATCGTTGAGTTGGTTCGACAATTGCAACATAGAGAGACCACATGCATATTTAATGAGCCAGCCTGGCATGGGGAAGGGGCGGTGATGGGATACACACACTCGCAAACACACACACTTGATAATGGAAGTAAGATACACACAATTGAGTATCTTTATATGCTAATAAATGGCCGCACATTTGCCTAAAATGGGTCAAAAGTCTCCCCCATTGGCGACGATGTTGCAACGCAGACGCATTCAATGGGGCGCCCCGAAACGAAGTGATCGATTGACACGATCAAAGTGTTGATAAAATGGACTCAAATGAATGGCGACGATGCACACACACAACGCCGCACAGCACACAGTCAGCTCTAAGTGCTTCGTCTCTGTATCTCTGCGTCTGAATGTATAGACATATGTGCGATAAGGCAGAGCTCTATGTGTGAATCCTCAATAAATATTCATGCTGTTGCTGCTGCTCCCATGCAAATGTATTTGAAATTGCTTGGCTTTCAATGAATTGAGCCAGAGCTCGAGAACTTTACGTCTCCATGCTCCAACAGCGTTACGTTATTCGCAATCCAGCAGTTGTCGCGTTCGGCTGCAGATCGGAACTTTCATTTGGATCCTAAATACGCAAGGCGAAGAAGTATGTGTGCTCCAGTAAAGAAACAAACTTTTGGAATACTTATGTAACTCTTATCAAGGATATCTGCCAACAAGTGTAATACATACAAAGACAAGTGCAAACAGCTTCAAGTCCAAAGATATTATCAGTGCAGCTCAATTGTGTCAAGGATAAGCCTAAATATAAAAGCACATGAAGGATTAAACTCTTTCCCATCTATACAAATTACTGAGCAGGATATCAGATAAATCATTATGAATATTATTTAAAAGAATTTTCAGTTTATTTTAAAAGAGGAATAAAAGTGAAAATATTTTGTGAGGTTATTTTTGAAATAAAAGTGGAAGTGTTTGAGTGGACAATATGTATTATAAAACTTGTGAAAATCAAATATATATATGAAATATAAATAAATATATAAGAATATTTATATATTATATTTCACCATATTAACTCATATTTCATAACAAAATGTAGTTTCAAAAATTGATTATGGATATTAAAAAAAAATTCTTAAGCGAAGAGATTTTTAACAATTTTTATAAAAATATTTACTTACTTGGAAATTATATAAAAGTGAATTAAAAAATTCTGAAAATGTATTTACAAGAAATTTTTGAAATGAAAGTGAAAGTGTTTGAGTGTATAATATATTTTATTAATATATTTCACAATATATTTTGTAATACATTTTATAAAATATACAAATTCTTATCAGATATGAAACTTAAATATATAAAAATAAATATATTAATACCTATCAATCAACTATATTCATATTTGCCAGCACATGTTATTACATCATATCAAAAACTATAATTGAGTCCAAGAACAAATATAGTTTTATAATTTAAATACATGAAGTCTACGTTTTTTTTATTATTTTTGGCATTTGCGTGCTGATTTGAAAAAAGTGTCTTTGGTGATAACCCCTTGTGGCAGATACTGAGCAGAGCAACGATCCGCACTTGAAGGAAAAACCGAGAACTAATAAAATAAATAAAAATTATAATAAAATATAAATATATATATACATATGTGTATACGAACAAGTAAATGTGTTGATAATACGTTTCAATTTCAATTCACAGTTTTGCTGTCTGTCGAGCACTTCGAGCACGCGTTCCAATTGGATTCAAATTAGATTTATTGAAATGTTGCCCTTTCGTTGGGGCATGCTGCTAGGCGTGTTGCTGTTTATAGCCTACACAAATGGAGCGGCTATTGTAAGTGTCAAAATTTGTTAATGAAATCGATTTAAGTTTATGCGAGTATGTGACAATTGAGTGAGCGAGAGAGAGAGAGAGAGAGAGAGAGGGAAAGTAGAGTAGTTCAATGCACATGAACTCGGCCCAAATTAGAAGAGATAAGAGCCGAAGCGTTGGTAGACTTGTGACCAAGGTCAGTTTTAGTCACAAACTGAGCTTAGATTTTAGATTAGCCTGACATTAGCATTGAACTTAATTAATCAAAATTAATTATTTTACGACAGGATCAATCATCTGTGGATGATGATGCGGAGCTGAATCCCCTGACTGAATTAGAGCGCACTAAGAGAAGCGGCAGAGGCTAGTAAGTAGCTGAAAAACCAATACTAAATGGTGGATCTGACTGAATTAATAATATCTCTAGTGTCCGAGGACAAACACAGTCTCAGTACTTAAACTTTGGTAAGCCCGAGGAGGATGGCAAAGCGGAAGCGGAGGCCAATGAGGGTGGATCGCGTTCAACTGTTTGTAAGTCGCATGCAGCGGAAATATATTTTCCGATCTCGCTGATTAACAGAATGCATTTTTTAGCCGGTTCCCATGGCATGGGTCAAGCGCAAAGCCAGTTCTCTGCTGGAGATTGCAGTGACTGCACCGGATATCGTACGGACTACTCAGCAGGCTCTAACCTATACCCAAGTGGCCCCAGTGTAGCTGGTGGTCGTGTCGGTAGACCCGATGCCATTATAAATCTACCAGGTGACTAATTATTTTGCACAATCAAATGAATATATAAAGAAACAATCAATTCATTATAAGCAGGTGGAGCTGGAAGACAGCCAGGAATAGGAGGCGGTCAACCAGGCTATGGAGCCCAACCTGGAACTGGGGGGCAGGCAGGAATCGGTGGCCAACCAGGCTATGGTACGCAGCCTGGAGCTTACAATCAATTTGGCCAACCTGGGGTAGGTGGCAGTCTACCTGGAGCGGGAGTCATAACTAAGCCTGGTAGTGGAGTGTTTCAGTCTGGTCAGCCCGGAATCGGTGGAAGTCAGCCCGGAGCCGGTAGAGGTCAGCCCGGAATTGGCGGACAGCCCGGAATAGGCGGTGGTCAGCCTGGAATCGGTGGGGGTCAACCTGGAATCGGTGGTGGTCAACCTGGAATCGGTGGTGGTCAACCCGGATACGGAACTCAGCAAGGAGCTGGCGGACAACCCGGAATCGGTGGGGGTCAACCTGGAATCGGTGGTGGTCAGCCCGGAATCGGTGGTGGTCAGCCCGGAATCGGTGGTGGTCAGCCCGGAATCGGTGGTGGTCAGCCCGGATACGCAACTCAGCAAGGAGCTGGCGGACAACCCGGAATCGGTGGGGGTCAACCTGGAATCAGTGGTGGTCAACCTGGAATCGGTGGTGGTCAGCCCGGAATCGGTGGTGGTCAACCCGGATACGCAACTCAGCAAGGAGCTGGCGGACAACCCGGAATCGGTGGGGGTCAGCCTGGAATCGGTGGTGGTCAGCCCGGAATCGGTGGTGGTCAGCCCGGATACGCAACTCAGCAAGGAGCTGGCGGACAACCCGGAATCGGTGGTGGTCAGCCTGGAATCGGTGGTGGTCAGCCCGGAATCGGTGGTGGTCAACCCGGATATGTCACTCAACCCGGAGGTGGCGGACAGCCCGGATTTGGTGGTGGTCAACCCGGATACGCAACTCAGCAAGGAGCTGGCGGACATCCCGGAATCGGTGGTGGTCAGCCTGGAATCGGTGGTGGTCAGCCTGGAATCGGTGGTGGTCAGCCCGGAATCGGTGGTGGTCAACCCGGATATGTCACTCAACCCGGAGGTGGCGGACAGCCCGGATTTGGTGGTGGTCAACCCGGATATGCAACTCAGCAAGGAGCTGGCGGACAACCCGGAATCGGTGGTGGTCAGCCTGGAATCGGTGGTGGTCAGCCCGGAATCGGTGGTGGTCAGCCCGGAATCGGTGGTGGTCAACCCGGATATGTCACTCAACCCGGAGGTGGCGGACAGCCCGGATTTGGTGGTGGTCAACCCGGATACGCAACTCAGCAAGGAGCTAGCGGACAACCCGGAATCGGTGGTGGTCAGCCTGGAATCGGTGGTGGTCAGCCCGGAATCGGTGGTGGTCAGCCCGGAATCGGTGGTGGTCAACCCGGATATGTCACTCAACCCGGAGGTGGCGGACAGCCCGGATTTGGTGTTGGTCAACCCGGATACGCAACTCAGCAAGGAGCTAGCGGACAACCCGGAATCGGTGGTGGTCAGCCCGGAATCGGTGGTGGTCAGCCCGGAATCGGTGGTGGTCAACCCGGATACGGAACCCAGCCTGGAGGTGGCGGACAACCCGGAATCGGTGGTGGTCAACCTGGAATCGGTGGTGGTCAACCCGGATACGGAACTCAGCAAGGAGCTAGCGGACAACCCGGAATCGGTGGGGGTCAACTTGGAATCGGTGGTGGTCAACCTGGAATCGGTGGTGGTCAGCCCGGATACGGAACTCAGCCTGCAGGTGGCGGGCAGCCCGGTGGTGGTCAACCCGGATACGGAACACAGCCTGGAGTTGGTGGACAACCCGGAATTGGTGGTGTTCAGCCTGGCTATGGAATACAACCTGGAGTAGGTGGACAAATTGGAATCGGTGGTGGTCAACCTGGATATGGAACTCAGCCTGGAGCTTGGGGACAACCAGGTATAGGCGGTGGTCAGCCCGGATATGGAGCACAGCCTGGAGTAGGTGGACAAATTGGAATTGGTGGTGGTCAGCCTGGATATGGAACTCAGCCTGGAGCTGGAGTACAAACAGGAATTGGCGGTGGTCAGTACGGATACGGAACGCAGCCCGGAGTGGGTGGTGGTCAACCAGGCTACGTAGCTCAGCCTGCAATTGGTGGCCAGCAAGGAATAGGCGGTGGTCAGCCAACATATGGAAGACAAACAGGATATGGAGCTCAACCTGGAGTGGGAGGCCAGTCAGGAATTGGCGGGCAACCTGGATACAGCACTCAGCCTGGGTACCAAACTCAGCCTGGATATGGAAGCCAACCTGGAGCTGGACAGCAAGGAATTGGTGGTGGACAGCCTGGATACGTTTCTCAGCCGGGCGTAGGAGGCCAAGCCGGTATTGGCGGAGCAGGGCAGCCAGGCATTGTAGGAGGCTATACTACCCAACCTGGTGTTGGTGGACAGACAGGCTATACTAGTAGTCGACCGGGATACGTTACTCAGCCTGGAACTGGTGGGCAAATCGGGGCTGGCGTCGGCCAACCTGGAATTACCGGAGCTCAGCCTGGAGTAGGAGGACAGCCTGGAATTGGAGGAGGTCAACTTGGATATGAAACACAGCCTGGAATTGGAGGACAACCAGGAATCGGAACTCAGCCAGGAGTTGGTCAACAACCCGGAATCGGTGGTGGTCAGCCCGGATATGGAGTACAGCCTGGAGTTGGTGGACAGCCCGGATACAGAACTCAGCCTGGCGTTGGCGGACAGCCCGGAATCGGTGGCGGCCAGCCTGGATACGGACCTCCACAAGGCTTTGTGGGACAGCCTGGAATAGGCGGAGGTCAGCCTGGAATTGGAAGCCAAATTGCTGGTCAGCCTGGAATAGGTAATATTCAGTCCGGCACAGGTATTAGTGGTCAGCCCGGAATCGGAGGTAGTCAGACCGGAGGGGGTCAAGTTGGATACGTAACTCAGCCAGGAGCAGGAGGCCAACCCGGAATCGGAGGTGTTGCTGGACAGCCTGGAATTAGCGGAGGTCAGACTGGTTATGTAACTCAGCCCGGAATTGCTGGGTACGGAATTCAACCCGGCGTAGGAGGTCAGCCTGGAGTAGGCGGAGGTCAGTCTGGAATAGGCGGAGGTCAGCCTGGAATAGGGGGCGGTCAGCCAGGCATTGGAGGAGGAGCAGGTCAGCCTGGAACTGGCACTCAAATTGTGGGCCAGCCCGGAGTCGGTGGCTACGTAACTCAACCTGGAATTGGAGCTGGGCAAATTGGTACTCCCGGACGTTACACAGATGTAGGAACAGCCATTGTCCCTGGCGGTGGTATTGGTAAATAATAGTTAACAAGAGCCCAAACTATTTGCTAACACTTATGTCCTACAGGCGTCCCTGGAGCTGTTGGCACTGGCGCTGCCGATGATGCCTTCTCACAGGCAGAGTCGGCTATTGGTGATGGCCAAGCATCAGCTAGCGCTCAAGGCAAAAAGAATGGAGGTACTGCTAAAACACAAGTGTCTGGCAGCTACAGTAAGGGCAGTTCATTCAGTGCAAGCGCAATGACATCTGATGCCGATCGTGCTGCAAGTGCTCAGGTGACAGGCAATGCGGATGGAGCAATGAGTCAATCTCAGGGCTCCGGAGGTCCATCTCAGTCCCAAGCTCAAGTACAACTTAATGGCAAGGATGGTGGTACTAAGGCTTCATCCCAAAGCGGAGGTATCATACACCAGAGCCAGAGTGAAGTCCAAGCCAATGATAAGGGCGGTCTGGCTGATGCACAATCGAGCGGACCTGGTCAGACTTCATCGCAAGCACAAATCGGCTTCCGTCCTGGTCAGGATAATACCCAAGTGAATACAGCAGGCGGTGGACAAGCGTCAGCTCAATCCGGCAGTCACTCGGGTCAAAGTCAGTCCCAGATACACGGCACATCCAGGTAAGCCCTATCGAAATACAGACTTCTTCGTGTACGTTTTTCGATTTTTTTACTTTAAACTTTGTAGCTTTGGAGTGTCCTACCATGGCGCTGCTCAATCTGCATCGGGAACCAAGGAACAGGTGGCCACGTATCGCGAACAGAATAGGGAGCTCTTTAACACCATCAGTCAGTTTGGAAACACTGGAAATGCGTAATTATTTGATATGATACCCAAGAATAAAATATGAACTTAAAGTTATTATATCCAGGGTTACGGATCGCGTTGACGCAGTCTTCAGTGGCCCAGCCGTTGCTCCCGAATCAGATAGATTACCCGAAATTCAGTTGAAGTCTTCAAAGACTAGCAAAGAAGAGGCTGACAAAGGGGAAACCAATAAGGAGGGCGAGACACATCCTACGCTAGCCGAGGATGAGGAATCAGAGGATGACGACGAGCCATATGATGAATACGAAGAGGAAGATTATTACAATGAAAAACCTGTGAAACTTGAAGAGAATCCCTCAGCTGCTAGCCCAGTCAAAGACCAAGCGCCTGGCCCACTGACTTCATCTGCACCTGCTCCACTGACCTATATGCAATCGTCACCCACTCAGAAGCAACAGGCGGTGGTGGCCAACCCGAACGGAGGCCAGTATCGTGTGGTGCAAAATCAAAATGGACGCGTGAACACATATCCGATACGCACCACCACCGAAGACGTGCCCAGTGGCTTCCGTGGTACAGTCAATGTGGAGAAGAAGTTCCACACCAAAGCCCTGGAGCTGCACAGCACTGATAAAAAGGTTGATATCAGTCTGGAGGATGTGGATGCCAAGTCATCCAATGGAGCCGCTCACAAGCCACGTGCACCTGACAGCTATGTAACAGTCACCAAGTCAGTGACTGGCAGCATGGACAACTCAAAGAACCCGCCCCAGGAGAACAAAAACTTCCAATCCACATACTATACGAAATCGTCGACGTGCGGCTACTTTACCTTCACCTGTAATATTGTTCACGGCGCAAATGGACGTAGTAAAATCTGTCGTCCCAAGACGCCGTCGAATGGCAAGTGCTAAGGATGCCATCAACAATTCAATGGGGCTCAAATTCTAATCAGCTAAAGCTAACCACTAACCTGTTTGTATTTGCCGCACTTTGTTAAGCATTTAAGTTTTTGCTAATAATATTAGAGTTTTACTCTCATTTCATACTTCGTACACAAATTCAAAATGTAATTAATATTTAATAATAATAATAATAAAAACCACACACTGCCGTGAAATGTTCGTTGAAACACCTAAATTAATCCATTTCATTTTCTTTATTAGAGCAGTTTGAATTATCTTCAAATTCGAAATTATTCTTCTTAAGTTTATCGAATGTATTAACAAAACAAATAAATATCGATATCAAACTATTGTATTGTAGTCAGACTTATGCGATAGGTTTTGAATCGATAGTAAAACACATGTCAAAATTATCGAGCCGGCAATTTGTTTTGTGTTGCTGAGCAACTAAATATCAAATATTCGTTCAATTTGTTGATTTCTTCTAAACAAGTCGAATCATTTGTCGACGAGAAGCCTAAGTAATTATATATATCACTGAAAGTGAGTTGAAGAAACTGCAAATCATGGGCGAAGCTGAGAAAATCGAAGTACGCGACATAACACGCATCGAGCGCATTGGCGCCCATTCGCACATTCGCGGCCTTGGTTTGGACGATGTACTGGAGGCTCGTGCCGTGTCGCAGGGTATGGTGGGCCAGAAGGATGCTCGCCGTGCCGCTGGCGTTGTAGTACAAATGGTTCGAGAAGGAAAAATCGCCGGACGTTGCATTTTGCTTGCCGGTGAGCCAAGCACTGGTAAAACAGCCATTGCTGTGGGCATGGCCCAGGCGCTGGGCACTGAGACACCGTTTACCAGTATGTCTGGCTCAGAGATCTACTCTTTGGAGATGAGCAAAACTGAAGCTCTATCACAGGCACTGCGCAAGAGCATTGGAGTGCGCATCAAAGAGGAGACGGAGATCATAGAGGGCGAAGTGGTCGAAATACAAATTGAACGTCCAGCCACCGGCACTGGGCAAAAGGTGGGCAAAGTGACGCTAAAAACCACTGAAATGGAAACGAACTACGATTTGGGCAACAAGATCATCGAATGCTTTATGAAAGAGAAGATTCAGGCCGGCGATGTCATCACTATAGACAAAGCCTCTGGCAAGGTGAACAAGCTGGGACGAAGCTTCACACGTGCACGTGATTACGATGCTACTGGTGCACAGACACGCTTTGTCCAGTGCCCCGAAGGGGAGCTCCAGAAGCGTAAGGAAGTGGTGCACACTGTTACGCTCCACGAGATCGATGTCATCAACAGTCGCACCCATGGCTTTTTAGCCTTGTTCTCGGGTGATACTGGAGAGATCAAGCAGGAGGTGCGCGATCAGATTAACAACAAGGTGCTGGAATGGCGCGAGGAGGGCAAAGCCGAAATCAATCCAGGTGTCCTCTTCATTGACGAGGTGCATATGCTGGACATCGAGTGTTTCTCGTATCTCAATCGTGCCTTGGAATCCGATATGGCACCGGTCGTGGTTATGGCTACCAATCGCGGTATAACGCGCATTCGCGGCACCAATTATCGCAGTCCACATGGCATACCCATTGATCTGCTGGATCGCATGATTATCATACGCACCGTTCCATATACCGAAAAGGAGGTCAAGGAGATACTGAAGATACGCTGCGAGGAGGAGGACTGCATCATGCATCCCGATGCCCTGACTATTCTAACTCGCATCGCCACCGACACCAGCCTCCGCTACGCTATACAATTGATAACCACGGCCAATTTGGTTTGTCGCCGCCGCAAAGCTACCGAAGTGAACACAGAGGACGTTAAAAAGGTATATTCCCTGTTCCTGGATGAGAACCGCTCCAGCAAAATATTAAAGGAGTATCAGGATGATTACATGTTCAGCGAGATCAATGAGCTTGAAGAGGAGACTACAGCCACTGGCGCTGGCGGAGGAGCCAAGCGTCGTGTGGACACCGGTGATGGCGATGCACAGCCCATGGAACATTAGTCTGCAATTGCCCGGAACAATTCTCATACATTCTCATCATAATTACCTTCCGACTTCCCAATAAATATGTTTACAAAATGCATTGTAGCTCTAAAGTTAAATGGATTTTTTATTACGGAATGTTGGGCTGGTAGATTTTTGATTGCAGCCTCCAATCTTAGGGTGTCCGCTGCTGGTCTATTAGGTATCTCTACTTGAAAGACAAGTTCAATCTCGTTAGGTGAATCAAGCAAGAAGTTTATTAATGTTTTGATATAACCAATTGCGTTATACAGTGTTAAAAACTAACTACGATATAGTTTAAAAGCCTTGATTCTACAATATTTACAAGGATCAAGGAAATGTTAATGAACTTATCTCTATCTGATTTCATTGCTTTCATTTTATTGAAATTTACACTTTCCGTGTATTTCTTTATCTCTTATACAGTTTCTGAGCATATCAAAATATATATTTGTATTTACTTATTAATCGTATAAAATTGTCTTTATAGTTGGATAAGTCTCGGTGCCTTTTTGCACTTGCGCGTTCATAGAGCAACTCAACTATTTTTCACTGACTAGACATTGCTTTATGTTATGAACGATTGAAAACAGCTAAACGTTTACGCCACGCCTCGTTTCCTTATCGCATTTAATCATTTACAATCTATATATATAATAGAGTAAAATATGATTATTTGGTAACGTCTTGATATCAATTTTAAACGAAAGAAGCTTTGCTGAACGCATACAGGTTCACGTATTGTTGACCCACTAATATGTGGATTGCTTTCCAGTTACTGCTGCAGTAGATTCAACATTCCGAGACTCTTTGCCAACCAAAAAACGATAGCCACGGAACATGCAAGCCCATATGATCATGTATATGAAACCAAAGTAGTTAACTGCGGCATAGACTTTGATCCAACGTTCGTATTTGAGAAAAACAAATGAGGTCAGACACCAGCCCATGTAGACGATGTTGTAAGATTTTAGGGCCACGAAATTAAGTATTTTATAGATCATAGAATTGTTTAACGTTTCGCCGTATTTGGGCAGCACTTCCCTAGTGTAAACTCGTTCGATCTGTTCAATGGAAAATATTTAACTTAAAAGCTGTATCTATATATGCATCAATTACTCACTTGTTTTTCAGTGCTGACAATCATATACTCCATAACGAATGCCATGTAATAGCCACTGTGATAGCCATGCCAAACGGCTAGAAAACTCAAAGCAGCCGCGTAGCTAATATTCCTATTGTTGAGGAACTTGAGACGCTTGAATATATATTGAGCGACCCATTGATTGGTATTCACATTGAAGCTCTGCACATAGTGTTCCATGGTATTGCCGGTCTCGAGCAGCATTAGCTTTACATTGGTGCAACCAAACCAATCCGGCTGCCCCTGTGCATCTTTGCCCTTGTACGTGAAACCAATGCACATAAGAGCTCCCTCTGCGAATAGCCAGCATGCAATGTATTTGTACAGAGTGAACTTGGCCCAAAAGCCCAGTAAAAAGATGCGCTTGATGAAGTTCACTTGTACAAATTCCGGTGTCAAGAAATAGTTATCCGGTAGGTAGGATAATCCAACTTGACAAACAATAAGGTAGAGTACACCCATGCCTAGACGCTGAAGGCCGGCGTCCACACAGCCCGCGTGCTCCAGAAATTCGCCATTTGTGAACCTCTGGTATCGTCGATAAGGAAACTGAGGTCCAACCAAGAAGCCACTGGGAAAGTAAGCATACGCCAATAACTGAAGAAATGAGGGTAGATCTCGCAACGCCGTCTCCTTCTGTTCTTTCGATAGCTGATCCGCGGGCTTCAATCCATCGGCCACATCAAAACCAAAGCCAATCATGCGCAACGTCAATATGCAATGTGGCATGGTCCACAAGATATCGTACTCGTTGCTGGCCGTAAAGTAATAGCCCAGCAGCAAATAGCTCATGTGAAAGACGAAGTTAATGCCTATCAGCAAATGCGGAGCACCGCGCATCAGATTAACCAGCACGAAGGTGACGCTAATAGCCAAAAGCGAATGATATGTGTCCTTGCCATAATTGAAATAACATAAACTAAGACCACAAAAGGCGAAAAACAGGTGATGCAACGCTTTGGTTTCTATGTTAACAATCACCTTACGATAAATCGCTGCAATCGGATAACCTAAATGATTTAAATTGGTTATTTAGAGGCATGTGACAGTCAAATTTAAATCATATTACCAGCTATCAGTGTGAGTATAAGGCGAAAGGCTTCAACGGGCACGCCAAACTTGAGGGCCAGCGTTTCGGTAAGTTCCATTGTTGTAGTTGTTGTTACTGCTGTTGTGCTGTGGATCAAAGGAAGCCTTATCAGTAAAAATGTTTTGTAGATCGAAGGAAGCCTTATCAGAACATATGTTGCGGTTCAATGTGCACTGATTTACGCACGTTTCTCATTATCACTGTTTCAACTATGAAACGAGCAGCTAATTTGTTGTCTGAATCAGCATTAAACGACTAAATTAGCTGCGCCCAGCGATGCGAAGTAAATCAGGGTCAACGTCATCGCGTCAGTCCCGCCACTGGGTCATGACGAAATTTGGAAATGCAAAGCTGATAAGCAGGCCATATGCTTAATATTTCATTTGTATTGATTGAGCAAGGCAATCAAAAATATATCTCAACGGTTAAGACCACTTGAATAGTAACCTTTAGAACGTTATAGTTGTTACCTTATAAATATATTTAGTTCTCAAGTACAGTTAATTTACGTAACAGCAGGTCAATTCATTAAGCGTGTTTTTATATAACTTCACAAACCGAATGATTAAATTTTCGCAGATATTTATCACTTCACATATTTTCGAAAAGGGTTTAAAAGGTGCTATGCCAAATAGATTAAATAAAACAAACATACGCCGTTACGTTATGTCTCAACAGCTGGTTTTTCGTCGATATTAATAGTTCGATAACAATAACTAGTTCACCGACTACAATTTTAGTTCAATTTCCAATTACCCATTATCTTTCTTGTATTATTCTATTTATCTTTTTAGAATTAAAAGCTTGTGTATAAATACATTTGCCCGTTTATTGTTATGCTAAGTTTAAAACATAATTATATGACGTTCAATGTATGGTGCAAAATGTCTGGTGTCATACTCGCATAGTTCAATTGAAATCAGCTCGAATGAAACTGGTTCTGGAACGGAACTTAGTACTCTAATAAACATTACATTACACGAATTGAATATTGCAAGAACCTGCGTTTTGTTGATTCCTTAATTAATTATAAAGCTCCCTTAGTTCATAGACATTTGGATGGTTCAAAGGTCAAACCGATCGAAAACCTACTAACACTAAAAACGTGCGCAGCAGCTGTTTTGCCTCTCAGTGAGTAATTCGACACATTTGGTTTACGTGTCACAGCATGTATAATGACCATCCTTCTTTAGTATTGCAGGTAAATTGATGCCAAACTGGCACACACAGGCAGCAGCAGTGGCAGCATGCGACGCAACAACTATCCCTACCAGCCCCTGAATCAGAACCCAGGACCCAGTGCTCCCGCTAGTCATGATGCGCTTGAGGCGGAAAACGAACGCGCGGCAGAAGAACTGCAACAGAAGATCGGAGCACTCAAATCGCTGACCATAGACATTGGCAACGAGGTGCGCTACCAGGACAAGCTGTTGCGCGGCATCGACGATGACATGGATCGAACAGGCGGCTTTCTGGGCAACACAATGACACGCGTTGTACGGCTGGCCAAGCAGGGCGGCGGCTCCAAGCAAATGTGTTATATGTTCCTCTTCGTGCTGTTCGTCTTTGTGCTGCTCTGGCTGACGCTCAAGTTCAAATAGTGTGACCGTATGTTAATTTTATAAAAAAATATATTTTTAGATACCCTACAAAGTGCGGTTCATAGACAAAGGTGGAAATCTGTGAATTCAGGAATTTTAATTATAAATTCATCTCCGAAGTCAACACTTTGATAAACATATCCATATTATATACATTTTAGATAGATTGGTTCATTGTTTAATAGACGTCATTTACCAAATTTTCAAATGATTCGTTTTTCGTTTGTATTACTTATCTAAATCTTTAGATACTTACAAATGTTTTATTAGTATGAGAGTACAAAACAACATACACACACACTCACTCGCATACACACTCGCTCGCACACATTAAGGTATAGATGGGCATAAATGTTGAACTTATAGGGTATACTGTTGCTGTTAATGTCCAGGCATTAGAATTTTGTTTTGATTGATTCGTTTACGATGCTAGCGTAAACCTTACAAAGTACAGCAGACGTTTTTATGGGCTATGCATGAAAGGTTTTCATCTTTTTACTGCGTCGACTGAATTCCGACTGCTCCAAAGCATCCTCCACATCGCTGCTTAGCTCATCGCCGCTCAAAAAATCGCTGCCATTTGATGTGTTGCCCTCCAGGCGCCGTACTAAATAATTAGAAATTTGTTTAGACCAAACAAAATACGTGTATTTCTAAATTAGTCTTACTTTGTTCATCCAGTATGCTGTTCTGCTTCTTAATGTCTTCGATGTCCTTTTGATTTTCACTTATTTTGCGTCGCAGCGTTTGAATGCATTCTGTGGTCTTTTTGAGTATCTGCGCACGGCTCGCCTAAAGTGGGCAGAACGAGGAGATTAATATGTCAGACTTAGGTCAAGGTATATATATAAAACAACATATAAGTCTACATGATAAACTAATAATAATAATAATTAAGATCTTGATACTGAATTAAATCTTCATAGTTGGGGCTACGATCTACAAACTAAGGCTAGTCTTGGTAAATATGTAACCATCTACTGTCTTTTAAGATCTTTATTCGCTCACCTTTTCACCCTTTAGCGTGGGCACTGCTTCGCGCAGGTTAGTAAAACTCTCTTTTATGTGATCTCTTCGGCGGCGCTCCAAAGCGTTGTGGTGTGCTCGTTTTTCGGCCTTGAAATAAAAATAAACAACTAATTATTACCGCCATCAGTCAGTCAGCAAGAGGAAGAACAAGAAGAAGAACAACAACAGTAGAGCTAGCACCGAGCGTCTGTTTATAAACACTAGCAACGTGGGCCTCCTGTTGTTATTAGTGAGCTGTTGCTCTGTCTTTTGTTTACCGGCGTAAAATTAGCAGTGCTTGTGTGTCTCGAGGAGCCAAGACCGTTATCAGAGTCTCCGTCGTCCTATGTAAAGAGAATGTTCGAAATTATTTATGACGTCAATGTGCGTCGTGGTTTGTGCTTACGTCACTCTCGATGTCAATATCTCTGTCGTCGTCGCTCATACTCATGATTGGAGTTGTTCTCTTGTTATGATTTCAAGAAAAGTAGTTAAAATTTTTAGCGCTCTGTGGGCGTTGCAGCACTTTGTTGATATTTTATCCTAGCGTCTGTCTCTGTGTATGCGTGTTATTTATTTTGTTTGCCAGCGCACGTTTTGGATAACAATCAGTGTGGCAGCAAGCCGAAAATACCAAAATACCAAATGCCATTATTCAAAAAGTGAGCTATATGTAGCAATTTATGTGCGCAATTCTATTGATTTTGATGTGCTTAACGTTAATTGATCTAAAAATAATTTAATTTTAATCGTAAAATAAAGAATTTTATAACTATATATAGTTGTATAGCTAAAATACCAAATTTATATATTTGGAATAGTTTGGAATTACTTCGATCGTTCCGTTTAGTGAATCGTTCTTTGGAACTATTTCGGAACGATTCAACACAGTTTTAATGCAAAAAAAAAATAAAAATAGCAAAAAAGCGCGTGTTGAACCGTTTTAATTATTTAATTTCTTTTTATTTAGTTATTCATACAAAATTTCGTCTATTTTTGATGGCTTTTCCTACATCAAGTGCACAGCAAGCAGAAACGAACCGTAAAATACTTGAAGAAATACAAACCAAGAAGCAGTTGCTCATCGGATTGGGTAGCACAACGAATCAGGTAAATGTAAATATAGAGCTGTTTATATATTAAGCGACTCGTTAATAGACTTTGCTTGCTTTGTAGATGCCCGCACCGCAGCTGCTTGGACAGCCGACAGTGACAGCCGACTTTGCCCAGAGCGTGAGCGCAACACCTAATGCCGCTGGCGGCATCGCCGCGCCACGATCTGCATTTAATCCAACGAGCTCTACAACTCTGGGTTTCTTTATACCGCAGGATTCGTATTTTGGAAATAGTTTTATACCCGTGTTGCCACGCCTGGAACCAGTGTCGACCCCGCCAGCGCCCAACGCCAAGTAATTTCATAGAACAATACACACGTCCACGTCCCTCAACATGACTCGTCTAAAGCTGAAGAAGTTAGAGGAGTATCTGCAGTGCGTCGATGGCTTCGAGAAGCCGAAGATACTGCTTGAACAATACCCAACCCCACCACACATAGCTGCCTGTATGACGCATTGCATGCAAGAACAGCACGGCGATATCGAAGGCAAACTGGTGGCTGATCTGGGCTGTGGCTGCGGCATGCTAAGCATTGGTGCTACATTGCTTGGAGCGCAGCTAACGGTTGGCTTTGAGCTGGACGACGCTGCCGTGGACATTTATCGGCAAAACGTGCTGGACATGGAGCTGCCAAATGTTGACTGCATCCGTGCAAATGTGCTCCAATTGCCGTGCAGTAAGTGGGACAATGCCTTCGACACAGTTGTCATGAATCCGCCCTTTGGCACCAAGCATAATGCCGGCATGGATATGCGATTCTTGGATGTAGGCATGCGATTGGCCACAGGTGCAGTCTACTCGCTGCACAAAACATCCACGCGGTGAGTGAGCAACTGCCAAGAAAACTTAACATAAAAAACTTTATAATAATAATGTCATTTACCTGAGTCAAAGGCGAGAAAAATGTGAATGTTATCAATGCCATCAACTACAGACTGTTCAGGACCAAATTGAAGTGTTAATGGTTGATCCTAACCACTCTAGAAGAAGTGAAATAGCAGTAAATCATTTATTGTGATTTTAAATGAAATACGTTCATTATCTATCCTAAGCGAATATATAATAAATAAGTCTATTTCAACTACTTTTATGATAAGCAATTCTGTTTTTATGAATTTTTGAAGCAAGTTCCGTAAGCACTTATTATTGAAACTGTTCTAGTTTACTGCTTAGTCTATATGCTATACTGTATGAATTCCTTTTATATAATCGAAATTGTATTTATGCTCTCTCTTGCAGCACCTATATCCAAAAGAAGTCGAAGGAGTGGGGCGCTCGTAGTACTGTTATTGCTGAGCTGCGCTATAACCTTGAGGCCAGCTACAAATTCCATAAGCAAAAGTCGAAGGATATTGAGGTTGACTTTTGGCGATTCGACCTCAGCGAGCTGTGACACAGCTCACCAAACCACTAGCTTAGAAAAAGAGAAATCAATTTAAATGCATTTTTATAGACATTTTAATAATACAAATCAAGATAACAAAGTTCAACTAAATTACATTTCCAATAGCTTGTTTACTCTACGTTGAAGACCACGCCCTGTGCGCAAGCCAGTTCGCCCGAGTGATTCACTGTGATGGTGGCGCGCTTGCAGTATTGCTTCCAGGCGTCGGAGCCCGATTCGCGACCACCGCCAGTTGCCTTCTCGCCGCCAAAGGCGCCGCCAATTTCTGCGCCATTTGTGGTGGTGTTGATGTTAACGATGCCACAGTCGGAGCCCTGGGCGCCAATCCACTTGAAGGCCTGGCTAATATTCTCCGTGAAGATGGCCGAGGAAAGGCCCTGCTCTACCTCGTTATTCCAGGCAACTGCCTCGTCCACATTGCGCGCTTTGAGCACATAGACAATGGGCGCAAAGGTTTCACGATGCACCACAGTCGCATCATGTGGCAGTCCAGTGATAATTGTGGGCTCCACATAGTGGCCATCACGCTCCAAGACACGTCCACCAAACGCGACAGTGCCGCCCAGCAGCTTGGCCTCCTCAATGGTCTCTTTGTAGCTATCGACATTCTGTTTCGTGTGCACGGGGCCCACAAGTGTTTGCAGCTCCAGTTGGTGGCCAATGCGTGGCAATAGCTGCGCATACTTGGCCGTCAGTGCCTCGACAAAGCTGTCGTGCAGTTTTTCGTGCACAATGATGCGCCTGGTGGTGGTGCAGCGTTGTCCAGTGGTGCCAATGCAGCCAAAGAGCGCTGCATCCAAGGCCATTTTAATGTTGGCCGACTCGTCAATAATCAGCGCATTGTTGCCGCCCAGCTCCAAAATAACCTTGCCAAAGCGACGCTGTACTTCCACACCAACATCTCGACCTGTCTTGCAGCTGCCCGTGAAGCTGACCAGATTGACACGCTGGTCAGCGACCAGAGCTGCGCCCACATCGGTGCCACCCTGACAGAGGCTGACCACGGCCGGCAAATTGTTGCGTTGCAGCACCTCGGCTACAATTCTAGTGGTAGCCACGGAGACGAGCGGTGTGCTGGGAGCGCCCTTCCACAGCACACTGTTGCCTGTGGTCAGAGCGATGGCTGCGTTCCAGCCGAAGACGGCATTGGGAAAATTGTAGGCGGATATGACGCCGACTAGACCAAGCGGACGCCACGCCTCCAAGATGGTGTGCTGTGCACGCTCCGAATTGATGAGCTGGCCGGAGTAGATGCGTGACAAGCCTACGGCATAGTCGCAAATGTCAATGAACTCCTGCACCTCGCCCTGACCCTCACTGTAGATCTTGCCTACCTCCAAGGAGACAAGTTTGCCCAGCGGCTCTTTGTATTTGCGCAGCTCGTCGCCAATCTGACGCACGATTTCACCGCGGACCGGAGCGGGCACTTGCCGCCATTGCTTGTAGGCCTCGACGGTCAGGCCAATGGTCTGATGTAGCTCCTGCACTGTGCCCTGACGCACTGAAGCAATAGCCTGACCAGTGCCGGGATCATAGCTGGTGATGCTCTGTCCGCGGCCCTGCCAGTGGCCAGAATAGACGCCGGGATTGTCACGTTCCAGTCCGAGATCCTTTAGGAAGCTGTATTCTGGCTGATCGATCAGATAAGAGGCGCTGCGCAGCTGCTGCTGCAACAGGCCACGCTGCACGGCGAGCCGCCCAGTCAAATGTCTCAAATTCGCGATCATGCTATGCTGTGCCAAGAAGAGAACACACAAAAAGAAACGCAGTGAGATTTATGGATTACTGATACGGCTGATACGCGCACCGTATCGCACCGATAAGCGTCAAATTGTCGCTGTTTTATGTAGCTGAAAATATTCCGACAGCTCGCCCCCAGCAATGAGGTCTGCTACTGATTAGCACTGCATCCGAAGCAGCGACAATCCACTTGAGTCCACTTACTTTTGTTGTCCACTTAGGTCCGCTGCTATACGATGTGCTCCCTGCACCGCTCAATTATCAACTGAACCGCTGAAACTCAGACCCAAGCAACAGCAGAGCTTATCTTGCGTTGAGTGAGCAATATATATATATATATATATATGTATATATAAGCACCCATACGGAGAGCGAACGCTGAGCATTATCTATAGAATTCTCCCTCTTTCACTCCCCCTCTCTGCCCATCCTTCTCGGGCTACTTGCTAGTTTAAAGGCAGTTACACCTTATTAAAAACAGAGTTTATGTATCAGATAAGATTTAGTAACAGCTCATTATAGAAATGCTATTGACAAAATATTCTAGCTGCTAAAATTTATTCATTGTTTCAGCTTAGACATTTAATATATTTAAATATTATTTAGTTTAAGTAAGACAATATTATAGTATATTAATATATAAAAACCCTATCATAAGCATTTTTCTTATAACTTTACTTATATATATTAAATTAATTTTTATTAAATTAATGTTCAGCTAATAAGTGTTTTTAATTAACATGGAAAGAATACTTAAAAAAGTATACAAAACAAACGCCCCAAAAATATATATTTATATTAATTAGTCAATAAAACCTGTAATTTGGGACACTGTGGCGCTACATAAATAAAAAAATAATACTAAAATATATTTATTTATGATTCACAAACAAAAAATACATATATTAACAGAAAATTAATTACTGCTTTGTTTTATTTTAGTAAACGAAAAAGTAATATATACAAATTAAAAACTATATTTTATGCATTATAAAAAAAAATAATTTACTAAATATATTTATCTTTTTTTATATTGAAGATTGAAGCTAATATATATTCTTAAACTATTTCTTCTCTAAAAATAAGACAAATATTTATTTATTTATTTTATTCCTATTAAATTATATAATATATATTTTATGTGAGCCGTAATATTTCTTACAGCTTTAGAGCTCCTCTGCTATTGTAAATTATTTTTACGACGTGTAATAGAGTTTCAAAGTAGTTTGTAATAAGAGAATATATAAAAAATTAATTAAATAAAAAATATACAATATAAACTCTAACATAATCTTCGCTTATCGAATTTGAAATATCTGCAAATACCTTCAGAATTTTCTTATCATTATTCACGCTTCATCATCCATCAGCAATTGTTGCTGTTGTCCTGGCAACATTTCGACACAAGTTAGCTGTTTGCTCGATAGCCACGGCCTTTGGCTAATCAGTTTTGCAGTTTGGCAGCTAAAAGAATTTGCAGAAATGGAAGTGCTCGAGGAGGGAAATTTAATGGACCGCGTGCCCATTCTGCTGCAGCGCGATTTGGAGTTTTATCAGGTGCCCGCACAAGCTGACCGCAATGCGAGAAAAGTGCTTTTGGGAAAACTCGTTAACACATTGTTTCTCACATTGCCCCTTCTTGATTTGTTTCACGAATAGACGCATCAGCGCGTGCTGCAGGAGCCCATCTGCTCGGGCGTGGTGGGCGGAAAACTCGACTTTCCGCGCTATGCATCGTTTGCATCCATAAAACTAATTCGCTGGTAGGCCATGTTGCTCTAAAAGTTTTCCCTGTACCCAATTTGACTGGGTCATGTTTCGTTTAGGTGGGAGGATGAATACTTTGCTTCCTATCGCAAGCATTCGGGTCTATTGCATACCGAAAAGGAGCTGAACGAATGCGATTTCGTAAGTGACTGAAGTCTCTTATTAACTATCTGTGTATCTGCAGATACTCCACGTCTGAAACTGCCTCTCTTTCTATCTAATCTATCTGCCTGTACAGAGCAGCGTTACGGTTAAAACTTCTGATCCGGATAAGTTTGTAAGTTTGGTAACCAAGTCAGCAGATCTCCTGTTGGAGCACATACATCGACTCTCGCAGGAGTCGTTGGATCATGCGGATCTGTCCGTGCTAACGGCCACCATTGGCGCCGCTGCATTGGTCAAGAACTCGTTGAGCGTCTATATGCAGGCAGCCACGACAACCATTTGCCCGCCCAAGGGTGACGAAAAGGGCGGCGCTCTGAAGTTGAGCTTCAAGCAATATGCCCAGATGTCCGAGGCATTGGCTGAACGCCTGCTGGATCTGCACTGTCGTCTGTTGCTGCTGTATATCATTCAGGACGCGGACTGTCTGCACTGGGAGGACACGCAGCCGTTCTTCGAATCGGAACGCGGCTCGTATACGGTGCAAATGTGGTGGCACTATATGCGCGGCACCAAAGCCGATCTCTGGAATTCGGTGCCACCGAAAATGGCACAGAAAATCTTTGCTGGAATGCTGAACGAGACACTCAGCGTGCTGACTGTGCGCTACACGCAGATTGTGACAAGTGTTGCACGTGCCCAACTGCATCTGGTGGACATTTGCAACATGCTGCTCTGCATTGCCGAGCTGCTGCCCCATGTCTGCGAGAGCGGCGAGGCCTATGTGGGCCTTCAGCTTAGCAATCAGAGCGTCATCGTTAGGGATATTCATGCCAAATGCCGGGAACTCTTCTACTGCCTGCTGCTGCGTGGCGCGCCTCTGGGTGTGCTTTCCAAGGTGAGATTATTTAGGGAATGTATACTAGTAACAGATTAATAATTGGAGTTAACCAAGGCAGCTATGATAGCTGCTTAACATCACTTCATATGTCTCCTTAAATAATGTTATTCTATAAGGATTACTAAGGACTCAAATTTCTAACTATTCCAGGTCTTTCGCAAAGGCCTAGATAACATGGAAATGTTTAGTTCACGTCATGGTCTGCCATCGGCCTGGATTATCTTTGCGTTGCCGCGGTACTTTCCCAAGGAGCAGTCCTGCCAGTGGGTCACAGAGTTTGCTGATCTTACCACGAACACGGCCATCTCCTTGGATTTGCGTGTGCTGCTGGCCTTTCCCGAGGCGCATTGGTCGTATCTGCTGAAGATCCTGCTCATGCGAGATGCCTATCTAACGGGCATCATAATGCGTCATCTAATGCAACATTTGCCGTCATCAGAGAATTTCAAGAATGTGGCCAAGCACTCGTTTACCAGCGCAGAGGGCGCTCCATTAAAGTGTGAAGCTTTTCTGTGCCGTGGCGAGTGCTTCAATGTCACCGATTCCATAGCAGCGGACATAGGTAAGTTCTCTTTGGAACTCACAATCTTTCATTAATAATATTCATTTGTTCTGATTCCCGTAGATCCCGTTGGGCAGTCCAACTATCAAATTGTGCTGTCCCTCACATACCTGGTTGTGGCCGTGGGCAAGGCCGTCGATATCAAATCCTGCCTGATAAAGACGCTCGAGGAGCATGCTGTGAGCGGCTGGAGCGATTGCCTGGACAAGCGCCAGGTGTGGAATCAGAAGCGCACACCTTGGCTAGAGGCCATCATGCACTTTGTTTATCCAGTGCTCGACTGCGTCGTCGAGATGCTGATCAATGCCGTCGAGAATGGCGCCAGCATGTATCAGGCCATGTCCTTGGCATTGACGTGCATCTCAGAGATTTGGGACTGCATGCCCGAGGGCTTGTATAAGATAACAGCCTTGCTACAGGATATAATACCAGTCTCCACGCGTCCTCTGGGCGATTCGGTGCTGCTGCAGGTGGTTTTTGCAGCGCTCTACACTGAGCTGATAAAGACAGCCGAAGTGCATGAGCAGGGTAAGTTTCAGACGTGAGTTATAGAATCGTTATATATTTATGAATCTATCGGCTTGGCAGCTAAGAACGAGGATAAGGCTGCCGTATGCTACTCGCTGTCGGAGGCCATTTGCTCTGTGGACGAGGATGATAAGCACACTGATCAGATCGAGCTGTTTCTTAAGCAGGCCAAGGAGAGCATCAATCTGGACACGGATTTCGGCGGCAGCTGCGGACGTGGCGCTGGCGGCATGAGCGCCGTCAGCACTGTCAAAATGGACGACCTCGCCATGAACAATGCTGAATCGGAGCGCTTGAGCCACAGTCCACCGGCTAACTATGCCATGGAATTGGATGTGGGCATTGCTGACTATATAGCCGAGGTGCTGGCCAGTGATGTGCTGACCACAAACATTGGCAAACAGGCGCTCAAAGTGATCTATAATTATCTGAAGTTCAACAAGGATTGGCTGCTGGAGCAGTTGGGCACGGGCGACAACGAGCCAAGTCCGTTTCAGGGCGTGCTGGGCCAGAACATAAAGGAGGCCAAGACCTCAGTGCTCAAGTCCATGTTCTTCATAGGCAATACGCCGTTTGATCAACTGCTAACGGGCTCGCTGAAGATCGACTATGTCAGCTGGCTGCAAATGCCGCTGTCCCTCAATCCGGAACGAACGTGGCTGCATCTGGCGCGTCGCTGCGATTTCCAGGAGGACAGCAAGCTGGCCCTGCCCGAGGTGGCCATGGTGGCTGGCATAAGTAAGATAATGAAACGCCGTAAAGACTTTGCCAAATGAGGAAGCCCGGCTGGCGCATCATTAGCGTTGCGCATACGCCGCTTCGTGCCCGTAAAGATGCCATTAATGGCGCATAATGCAAACAGCACGACAGCTTCGTACTCCAAAATGTTCGCAACGTAACGCAAAATGAGAGATGCAAGAGATGTAGATAAACCTGAAGCAGGCTAAAAAAATATTTGCTCCTTCAGCTACTCCTGTGTTTAATATATCATGGGCGAAGCGGGCGGGGGCTTAGCTGGGTAGTGGGTAAGTCCAAGGAATGGTGGCATTTCACTGCCGAAAAATGTTTTTGTCCACACGCGGCGTAGATGGCGCAATTGTCAACTGCTCCGCGGAGCAGCAGCAGCAGCAGTGGTAGCGGCTGCTTCCGCCCTTCCTTAGCAATTGCCACGCAGAGCGCCAGTTATGAAAATTACTGAAACGACGCCAACAAACATACAAAGTGATGAGCGCGGGGGCTGGGGATTGGCCAACGGAGCTGAGGCTAACGGGCAGGCAAGTGTAGCATGGAAAACACACCAGCAGCAACAACAGCAACAACATGAAGGGCAACGTGACAAATAAAAGCGAATCAACAAAGAAATTCAGAGTCGGCTTCAGGCACTTAAGACATGCGCTGCCTGAATGAAAAGACAATCAATTTAAGTAGAGTTCATAGAGTACGCTAAGCACTTGAGTATTAAGTCAGACTTTTTAATGAGTTTTTCTTATTGCTGAAAATATGCAGCTCTAGCTGAATACTAGTATAGTTTATAGTATTTAGTTTGAAGTGTTTGAAAAAGCCGTTGAGCTACAAAGTTTTGGAGTATGAAGTTTCATATATACAAAAATAGTTATCAAAGGCAGGTTCTAAAGATAAAAAATTATTTTTATGTTAATTAAATCCATTGAATAAGAAATTTAAGATTCTTTCAGTTGTTTGCTTCTACTATAATTAATAAGAAATACTTTATAATACTGCTATATAATATTATAAAAAAAAAAAACAACAAAAAAATACAGCATTCATAGCTTTTCTATTTTTATTATTAATTAATATTAATTTAAATCTCAAAATAAATATGTGTAAAAAAAACATTTTTACGACAAAAATAACTTAAGCCTTTATGATTTAATTCAATTTTAAATGTCTAAATATTTTTTATTTTTTTTTTTTAATTGCTGTTTTTATTTGCAATCTGTCTTATACTAGACAATAAAGACATGTCTAAATATAGCTTTAATATTATCCTGCTGCTATAACATAAGTCTAAGCAAGCTCAGTTCAAATTAGTTTTCAGTAATTTTATTTAAATAGACAAACACTAAATTAAAATATTCTAAGCTGCATTCTATTGCATTCATAACTGAAACACTAGACATTAGACTGAAACAATTTAAAGCTGCTTAAAATTTAAACAATTCGCACAACAACAAAATTTGCATATAAAAAAGTTTCACAATTTTATCATGTTAAAACTTTCGCTGGGCACACAGCTGATATTATTATTTCAATTCACAGTTGCGCGTAGCAACAATATGAAAAAAGTATTGCATAAAGTAGGGCATTTCGCTGGCCTGCTGGCCGCTTTTTGGCTAGCGAGTCGAACTGGCTGAAAGGCGACCGAGGACGATTGCTCTATTCATTCACTTGGCGCTGCCAGAAGCGTGCGGACGTAGTTTAGGACACACTCTGACTCTGCTGACTCTAACTCTGGCTGTGACTCGGGTTCGGCTTTTGGCTTCAGAGTCAAGTGGCAAGTGGCACCTGCACAAGCTTGGCGGACATTTTAAAAACTCAGTTGTTGACGTTCTGCGTGTGGCGCGGCGCAGGTAGCTGAATGCTGCATGTTAACGGTAATTTGCAGCCATTAGTTGCCACACACACACAGTGCTACGGTGATTAAGTGCTGCTGCTACTGAAAAGGAAAACGAATTATACGTGCAAACGTTGAAAGTGTCGGTCGCATTACGCATACGCAGCGTATGCTGGCTCAAAGTGAACGCTGAAATTTAAAAGTGTAACGAGCTGCTTATTGTTTCTTTATTCGTTAGTCGTGCTGTTGTTGTCGCCAGTGTCCCCGCTATCCTTGGCAATCGTCGGGCAGTCGCTTGCCAAGAAATTGGATACGTTGCCGTAAAAGTTCACTTGATTTATATTCAATGCACAACACAATGTGTCTTCCCAGCTAAGTCCCGCTGAGCTTACGTTGGTCCACGAGTATTAGCCGATGTATTAACGTGGCCACTGGACTGCCAATCTGTTGGCCGTTGTAGTTGGGAAATGTGCAACCGAAACGCTTAAAGGAAAAAATAACAAAAACAAAAAATATAATTTATAAGTGCAGCATGAGTCAACCGCATCAACAACATGAGCAGCTGCAACGACGTCGTCGCCATTGCCGTCAGCCGGTCGAGCCTTGCGACTGTTTACGTCCTGTGATAAGAGTTTTTGGTCTGCTGACTTCATTCGGTAAGCACACACACACACACACTCGTGCACTTATGCGTGCACTCATGTGAGCCATATGAGCTGGAAGCATATAAGCTGCATTTAACTCAGGTGCCGTTTAATGTCGCATGAGGCTAAGAAGTTAATCTTGTAACGATTTATACAATTTATTTACGTTATATTTAATATTGAATTGAAAAACTGCTTAGAAATGCAAGGAAATCGGAACAACAATTATTTTCCTAAGACTTTAGGATGCAAACATTTCTTTTCATTTCTCATGATTTACAGACTTTTTTAAGTGAATGGTCTTAAATGCCACAGCAGCACTAGATCTAATTAAAGTTTTGTATTTTTAATTATTTTGTCTATTTTAAAATAATTATAAACTAATTATTTGTTTTTATATATTTTTTCTTTATTGCTATTATTTAAATAATAAATTTTATATTTACTTTATATTATTTTATTTCCAGCTTTTTTCAGCCCCACAACCTCTGCATTCCTGTTTTAATGAACAACCCCAAAGGGAATGTAAAGTTAATGCTTTTGGGACATTTACATTCTAGTCTTACAATAATGTGACTATTGGTTAAATTTTACATTTTGAAAGCTGAAATGAATATTTGAATTAACTAACAAAAGTCTGCCTAAGCTGCTAGAAGCTGCTCAAACATATTCTGTCTGCTGAGTTTAGTCAACTCTCTTTGATATCTAGTTTAGCATGTTAAATTCAAGAATATTAAAACCAAATTATAGTTGATTGAATTGCTGATACAACTATATGATTAAGTGTACATTTTTAGCAAGTTCATGCTTCTAGAGGAAGCTCGAGTTAATTTCTTCACCATTTCAATGCAATTTATAATCTGTCCAAAACGAGTTTTGCATATGCTACAGTTATTAAATTTAGCTTTAACGCTTGTCATGCCCAGCCCGTACACTTCCCATGAGTGTCATCTGTATCCTGGCTCATCCAGCGCTCCCTCGTCTAATGCACTTGTAATGGTCGCCTTCAATAGTGCAACAGTCTTCACAAGCGAGCCTGACCAGCCCCAACTGGGAAATGTGATAAATGAGCGATGCTTAAGCCAGCAACGTGCCAGCAGCAACGGCAGCCGCAGCTGCTGCTTGGGTCAAGTTCAAAATGATTCTTCCAGCAATATTGTTTTTGTTTGGACCAAGTCTGCCAGTCTGCATTATACAAAACAACTCACAGTTCATAAACCTCAGCGCTGCGTGCTGCTCACAGATCTGATAGCCCAGCAAACAAAAAACCGAAGCAGTGCACAGAAGCTCTCTCAGGGCCATTAACAAGGCATTGGCCCTCTTTTACTATTTTTTTTTTCTGTAGTCAGCAGCTGCATTCGCACATCCTTGGCAAGTGCAACCCTTTATGGTTTTTATCCCTATGCACGGATATTTTTGTTGTTGGCTTTCTGGCGCCAGTCGCTTGGCCCCCTCCAAATAAAAAAAAAAATAACTTCAGCTGGATGTCCCATGCCCAACTTAATCACGCAGAGAGCTGCGCATAATTTTTGCCTAGTTTTTATTTGATTTTCTATAGACGCACGTTTCATCGACTATTCAGCTTTTTTTTTTTGTTGCTTTAGTTGATGCTCTCAAAGCGTTTAATGTAATTGGTTTGGCTTTGGTTTTTGGCCTGTGGACTGCGGACTGTGCGGCCAAAGCTCATTTGCCTTTATCTGCAGTCCAATCGAATTTGTTTTCCCGGCGCATACAATAACAACTTAATTAGATTGAATTTTGAGTAGATTTGCGTCTTTCTCGTGCTGCTTCTTGTTGACTTTGTTGTTGTTGCTTTGTGAGTCATAATTTACACATAGGGAAAGTAACCGCTGATAGGCATAATATGGTTAGAATCTAATATAAATATATATATTGTGTATATGCGTTGAGCAAGTGGGTAGCTCGAGAAGTTCTAAGTGTGGGCAAATTAACGTAAAGAAATCTGCATTTTTATACAATAAATAGCACAGATCAACTGGATTTACTAACTACTACAACTATCCTTTAGACTATCGAAGATTGTTGATGATTTTAAAGCTGAGCTCTCATCTGTATTCTAATCTGCATATACATAATAGCCAAATTAGCTCAGTATTCCCAACAAAAAATTAAATTTAAAGCCTTACATTTGGTACCTAAACAACTGAATTTTACACTTAAATAATAGAATTTATTAAAGTCGTCACATATTACTCTAGTCTTCAGATTTAAGGTTTCAGATTCTAGGCTGCAGGTTCGAATTCAGTTTATGACAAAGAACTGACAAATCTCCAAAAGGCTAAGCTGAAACTTAATTTTGATTTCGAATTCAGCACCTGAAAAAACTTTGAAAAGTATCAGAAATGCTAAGCTTATTCCCAAAATTGTTATATATTTGGCTTTTTTTTAAGGATTTTTGAGGGTTTTAACAATTATATATAGTTTGCATATACATATAACAATAATTTGTTAATAATTAATGTAGCATAAATTATATTTATTATTTTTTTACTCCTATAGAAGAAAGTTCTAAGTCTTCAATATTTTGCTAACTATAACTAAGTCTCAATCTTGTTAAGCTACTTGCAAAACTTCTACTTCAACCCTCGCACATAGCGACTGTCTCATCAATGTAACTTAGATTACATATTTGCGTTTTGGCATATTTTATGGCCCCCAAGCAAATGTTATTTGCTTCGAGACAATTCTATATTGTTTTATACGCATATATTCTGTAGCACGCAAGGCTCATAACACAGCTTCAACTCCAACTCCGACTCCTGCTCCACTGCCAATGTCTTGAGCAGCCAACAGCCAATTTGTGGTCATTTTTCATTTCAGTTATCTGCGGAGTGGGCGTTGATGTCTACATGCATGGCTATCAGGCGGGCCTCTACATACTGTGAGTCTGAACACTTTGCTTTGTCGTGGATCATAAAAATTTTAATGCTCGGGCAGTTTTTCAGCTTTGCTGGTGCTGTTCATCGAGATAAAATGGCTGATAAACATATTCCTGCAGCTTCAGTGCGGCGAGTAAGCAAGGAGTTCGATGAAAGGACGGCCATAAATTTAATGCTTGCGCGCAAATATATATTTATTTATTTTTAATTTTCAGTGATAATTACCACAGCCGCGGCTGCTGCCTGAACTGCTGGCGTTTGTCAGCATGGCTGGGCAGCTGGCGGCCGACGCCCATTTATGTCGCCATGGGCGTGGCCTTGATACTCTTTCCCCACAATCTGTGGCTGAGCTATGTGGCGGGCATGCTTCTCCTGCTCTTGGCGCAGCTGCGTCTCTGCACGCTGCTAAGATTCGGCGGTGGCGCTGGTCACTTCAAGGACGTGGGTCTGTTGCCACACTGCGATTTTGAGAAGTAGCACATGCCACATTCAACAAATTGGTGACCACTTAAACTGTTTGCTTAATTGCTTGCAGAGTCTCCAGCTTCGTGGACAGCGTGGAGGAGGATTTCGCTGAGGTCAGCGTCTCGCAGCCGGACGACGAGGACCCGCCCATGGAAGATGAGGTTTGCTAATGGTTTCTAGCATCTGTAACAGAGATCTGTATCTGAAATGCTCTTGTCTTGCATTTCCTCTTGACTGCAAATGCAATTTATTTACACATAAGTCAAACTTTAGCTAGAACGCATATGCAGTGTATATAATTTGCCATGTTCAAATCGTTTTTCCTATACTGTTCAAGAACTCTTTATTTCAATATGACTGTACTGCATATATGTATAAATATTACAATAATATATTTCAATTCAAATTTGTATTAAAACAGTTTTTTATAATAAAAACTTGAAGCTGAATTGTACAAGAATCCATTCATAGCATTGAGCTTTTGCAAGCAGGCAAAACATTACACAGTTGTTTGCCGGGTAAACAGTGCGCATGTCTAACAGGGTGGCAACGCCAGCCAAAGGAATTTGCTTTTGAAGTTTTTTCTCCAGGAAATATCCGTTACACTTAGTTCTGTCCGAAATGAAAAGAAATTCAAAAAGTTTACTGGGTAAAGTTTATTTATTTATTAAATCTTTAGTTATGACATTGAATCGCCCCGCACGCTAGATAAACTAATTTTAACAATCTGTACCTTGAAGACAATGTTCTTTGGAACTGTTTTTCTAGGCAATTTTTTATAAGCAGTCACATGTGTGTGGGTGTGTGTGGGTATAATATTCAAATTATTTTTGGGCTGGCTGTCATTATACTCACGCTTCAGTCTAATTGTTAATGGGTGCCGTTGCTGTGGGGCGTTCGAAAAGTTGTTTTCTTTTCTCACTTGATTTCATAGTTTTTTTTGTCGCATGTTGTATAAATATTTTGTAACTTTTAAAGTTAGTTCTTTTATTGGGTTGGTATCTTTACATGTTTGCTATGCAATAAACATATATAACATTATTATAGAGTTGCTTCATTAACTTTTACGTAGTTTTCCCAATTGAAAACGTTGAGGTAGCTGCGTTTTGTTTTCGTTCTTCATTTTGTTTTTAGTGTATTTTATTTAACAATTAACTATTTGTATTAGGTTCTTGGTTATCCCTGATATATATATATATATATATATATATATATATAAATATATGTATGTGTGTATGTGAATGGTGTGGGTCAGATGTGTTGGACATTGTTTTGTGTCTTGTGTTCAAAGTGTTCTATGATAACTCTCTACAGGTGAGATGAACCGAACCTCTTTCTTAAACTTAAAATTTAATAAACGAAAACAAGCCACAAAAGTGTAACTACAATTTATTATAGTTTTTTATTTCGTATATTTTATATATATTATGTTGTATGTATGTATATCGTTTATATGTGTGTGTATATTATACATAAAAAACATCGAAATCGTAAAATAAAGTCGAACTAAATTTAAAATAAAAATAGAAATAAAAATTAAACAGAAAACAAAAAACAAAAACATTTAATAATTATTATTTTGGCATAGCGAAAAACGAGATTGTTCAGCATGTGGCAAAGGGGGTCGTGAGGGGGCGGGGCGGACGGTTCTAGGAAATTCTGTACTTGTCTCTCATAGATGAGCCCAGATGCAAACTATTGAGTTCGCAAGCATTTTGGCGCCTTGGAGTTAAATGCGCATCTGTTGGCACATTTTCTAACGAGTTTCTTATCATTTTTATTTTTGGCAAGAGATTCGGCTAAGGCTTGTTGCTCCGCCTTGTAGTAGTAGTTGGCTAATGTGTGTTGTAGCCCGTTGAAAGTCTTATGGTAAACTTGAATTGACTAGAAAATAAAAGTTTTTTATTTGGTTGTAGTTACAGTTGTAAACAGAGTTAACTGAATCGAGGAGCTACTGTAGCTTCGCCTCCCTACACATGGCTGAACAATCCATAAACCATAAATATAATATTTATATAAGGAGAATTACAGAAACGAAAATTGTAGTAGACATTAAAAACTGTTCATCATTGATCATTATCATCATCATTCATCATTCATCATCATTAGTTATCACTTGCTCTTCTTATAACGTAAGACTAATAACTATCATTGGGATTCATTCGCGCTTTGCTGGCACTGTTTATTCATATATTTAGTTCGGGCCAATCTTTAACTTTAACTTGGTAATCGAAGCGGCTGCCTCTGCTCCAACATCTCCGTCTTCTGCTTCAATTTCACTCTATAAAAATATAAACATTTGCCTTACATACACGTACATAGAAGAGTTAGAGAGAGAGAGATAGAGATAGAGAGATAGTGAGAGTATGTGAGGGGTGTCTGTATGTGTGTGTGTGGGGAGGATTGGGGATTGCACCTTGCTCTATATAGTTTATGATCTCTGATCTCTGGGTGTGACAGAAGTCCTTGGCACACGCCGTCAAGACCGTCACCAATTGCTGATGTCCAATGGCATTGACGGCGCTGTGCCTTGCTTGGACATTGACTGCAACGACCCGCGTCCGCGTCGTCTACTGCCTCCTCGGAGTGCCCCCGTAACTGCTACTAACTAGATGTTTAGTTTAGTAGAACGAACTGCACCAGGCATCGCCCGCTGTGGGGCTTAGCAGGCCGACCAAATTGCTGCCATGATGCGACTGCACGGCGCCATTCGCCACAGACGCCGGCGATGCCGTGTGATTCGAGCTGGGCAAGCACTGGAAGCAGTAGTTGGCGCCATAATTGTTATCCCAAAACTGTTGACCCTTGCACTGAAAGCGTACGGCAAACTCCAAACGTTGGCCCACATGCAGCGAATTGCCGAAGAGCACAAACGTAAACTTGTCGGAGAAGCCGTCGCACGAGTTCTCCACGTAGTTGGCCTGCAGATCTGCAAAGCTGCGCCAGCCGTCCAGCGAGTAGCGCACATGCACAGATTTGTGGAAGTCCAGATTGCGTACACGCACCGAACCGGCGATTGTCTGATTGATGCTGTCGGTGACAGCGGCGTTCTCCAGCGACACCTGTTTCTCGCGCACCGCATCGAGGAATGTGGCCAGGCCGCCAGGCTGCTGGAACAGCGGCATCAACAGCTTGTCGGACTTGGGTCCCAGCTGCAGCGGCGGCTCTGTGTCGAGTATTTCCAAATCCTCGAACGCCGACTTCGGTATAGTTGGTATTTCGTCCAGGAAAGTTTTCACATCCGCCAAGTCCAGGCCAAGCACATCAGCAAAGCGCACGATTTTCTTGCGGCCCGGCGTGCCCGGCGGCGTTTTGCCCGTTTTCAGTGAGGAGCAGCGTCGCACGCGCTGCGGCCGACAATCGTCCTCATCGTCTGTGGTGTCTATGCCGTGGCTCTGGCGCGTTTTCTCCTTGGCCTCGTCGACATCCTGTTGAGCCTGTTCCAGTTGTGCCAGCTCCACGTTCACAGTTAGACTGCTGCTCTCCGTGCATTTGTCCACCTCATCTGTGCCGCTGTCTGGCGTTTTCTGTTCCTCCACGACTTCGGCCGCTGGTGCTATGTTTTCATTATCAAGCTTCTGCTCTTCTGATGCTTCTATATAGCCATTGACCAATGCTGGCTCATCCACTTGCTCCTCGCTAAAGCCATTGTCTGGACTCTTGATGCTTTCGCTGTGCAGCTGCAGCTCGCTTAGTATTTGCGCCTGCAGCAGCGTTTCATCTTCCGCTTCTCTTGCCTGCTCCGCCTGCTGCTGTTCCAATTCTTTATTCACCTGCTCCTGCTCCTTCTGCTGCTGCTGCTGCTGCTGCTCATCGCCATTTGTTAATGGCTCATGTGTTCCGTTCAATTGCAATGTATTTACAAATTCATTGAGCTCCGTTCCGGGCACTTTGCTGCGCTCTGTCTGTGTCGGCTGTTTGGTGGTGACCAGCAGCTCCTGCGGCACAGTGCCTATGCTGCTGCTGCTGCCGGTAGCGGCATCAAAGTAGGGACCATCTGTGCTGCTGTGACTGCTCGCCGCCGAGGCGCACGCATAGCCAGACTCAGCCGTTGAGTTGTGTGGTGTATTCGAGGCGGTTTCTATGAGACGCAGGTACTCGCACTCATCCACTGGGCTGCCTGGCGATTCCAGCTCGCAGTCAAAGTCGAAAAACGAATCTGACTCTTGGCGCAGTGGCTGCAGATCGGTGACAGTCTGTTCCGATTCGTGTGCATTAACCCAGGTGTTGGTATTGCTGCCATTTATGATCGGCTCATCCTCTGCATTGGCAGCCCCCTCCTCGTTAGTCTACATTTCAAAGAACGGGAAGAGATAGACCAGAAAGAACTGATTAATAATCGTATAAATGTTGCCTAAAAACTTATTTTGTCTACGACTGCAGCTAGGGTTGCTCATAGATAAATTCTTAAAAATAATGGAATATTTCTCATTTATTAATGTTTAGATATTTGTATAATATGAAGAACATTTCTTCTTGCACTCCCTCGTGTATTAAGCTTTAATATGTACTCAATGTTAGAAGGCATTCTTGAAGTAATCCTCTTTGCCAGAGTTGTCAGGTTTCATGGCTTTGGAGCCGGGTCTCCAATTGACTGGACAAACTTCGCCAAACTCATCGGTATATTGAAAGGCCTGGACCAAACGCAATGCTTCCTCCACGCTGCGTCCCACGCCCAAATCGTTCACCGAGACGTGCCGTACGTAGCCAAGACGATCGATTATGAACATGCCTCGGTTTGCCATGCCTGTTGCCTCGTCCAGCATATAATAGTCGCGAGCTATCTTCATGGACTTATCTGCCCACAACGGAATATCTATTTCGCCGAGGCCACCCGCCTTGCGTGGCTGCATCATCCAAGCGCAGTGGGAATAGTGACTGTCCGTCGAACAGCCAATCACCTCACAGCCTATATTTCGGAACTCCTGGGCCCGATCACTGAATGCATGCAATTCCGTTGGACATACGAACGAGAAGTTGGCCGGATAGAAAATCAGCGTCACATATTTGCCGCGATACTCTTGAAGTGTCATCACGCGAAACACGCTTATTGCCATCACAGCAATCGAATTAATCTCAGGAGCTGGCTTGCGCAGTAAATTCATTTTAGCAGTTGTGACAGCACTATACAAATATTAGGTAACTCGTACGAAGCCTGAATAAATTTACTCGATCAACACAAGGCTGAGCTACGGCTTGATAATAATGCGATTGCTTGGATCGAATAATTTTTTATAATTTTTAACTTATATTACAAATATACTGGTACATAGAAAGTAGGATGAATAGTGTGTAAGCCTCAGCCGTAAGTAGGAACTAGATAAATTATTTTGGACTAAGCTCTTTACATGAATATTGATACTGATAAGAGGAATGATAATAAAAATGCTAATACTAATAGATAATGAACGTGATAATGATAATGATAATGATAATGATAATGATAATGATAATGATAATGATAATGATAATGATAATGATAATGATAATGATAATGATAATGATAATGATAATGATAATGATAATGATAATGATAATGATAATGATAATGATAATGATAATGATAATGATAATGATAATGATAATGATAATGATAATGATAATGATAATGATAATGATAATGATAATGATAATGATAATGATAATGATAATGATAATGATAATGATAATGATAATGATAATGATAATGATAATGATAATGATAATGATAATGATAATGATAATGATAATGATAATGATAATGATAATGATAATGATAATGATAATGATAATGATAATGATAATGATAATGATAATGATAATGATAATGATAATGATAATGATAATGATAATGATAATGATAATGATAATGATAATGATAATGATAATGATAATGATAATGATAATGATAATGATAATGATAATGATAATGATAATGATAATGATAATGATAATGATAATGATAATGATAATGATAATGATAATGACACTAATAAAATGATATAGATATATGATAGTTATTATCATGATAATGGTAATGATAATCACTCCCCTGCTCTCGCTCTCTGCTCGTTCTTCTCCTGCTCCTGGTCCTGCTCCTCCCTCTCCCCCTCCTCTTCTTTCTCTCCCTTCCCTCTCCCCCGTCTCCTTCGCTGCTCCTTATTATACCTTAGTTATTGCCAGCTCACCTGTGATCCCAAGGTGCGCAGCTTTGAGGACAAACTGCGCGCGAATGCCTCGGCACGACCACGGCATGATGACATCCCTATGTTTGGTATTATGGAGATAATGCTGCAGGGCGGCCTGTTGTCCGGCGTGCTACTGAGTGTTAATGGTATATCGCCGGGTTCATTCATTTACGTCACGTCAATATTGCGATGCGCGGTGGGCGACGTCGGCAACTGCAACAATGCTGCAAAATCAAATAGATACATTCATTATAGCCAGAATGATAGATAGATATACTTAGATGACGTGTCCGCTGGCATTATTATTTTCGTATACTGACTAAAGCCAAGAAACAGGCGAGATTTTCGCAAGTAAACAAATAAATTTTGCTCGAATTGTTTTGCTTTCGCTACATTTTCCTTTCAGTTCTGTTATTTTTTGTTTCTATGGGAAAAACAGCTGGCAATTATTTTTTATATTTTGCGCGATTGAATTAATTTTAGCTGCCTGTCAATTATTTAAATAGCCTATTCGGGCTATTATGAGCAGTCGGCATTTGCACTAATGCATTTTTAGCATACTCACAGCTCGACAAATATATCAAATGCTTCAAGTTATTTCGCTATAGCATATTTTGGGGATCTGTGCGCTTTGCGCACTTCAAATATGTGATAGCAAAAATATAAAAAAAATTGTATTATATCATCGGATAAGCGCGTGACAATGCTGCATATGTTAATGAAGTCTGAAGTGTTTTACATATTTGTATTAAATAACATTTAATTGAAAGGGGTCTCTGCTTTGGTGGCACGTGATCAAGTGACGCTCAGCATGAGTTGGATAATAGAATTTAAGCACACCCCCCAAAAACCCAATTGCCGAATACTAATTGCAGCTTGTTTTTTGTTTTTGGCAGGTGGTTCGCCTTTTTATTGTTGACGCTGTATCAAGTGCGACACGTGCTGGCCCGATCAGGTGCCGAAAGGCACGCCCACCTACAGTAAGCCAATTCAGTTATAGCCCAACCCAAGAGGAGGACAGCGAATGCACCAATCGCGTCGCTGTTTTTTTTTTGTTGTGTTTAATTGGCCTTGAACTTAGCCACATTTTTGTTGTGTTTGGGCTTTTCTATACAATTTTTGCTGGCAGCCTGCACAGGAAGCTTAATAAACATTGAATTAAAGCTTTGCCAAAGGCTGCAAGGCACAAATGTAATAAAATAAAGAAGCAATTGCCAATCGATCGACTTAAGGAGGTCAGCAGCATTGTGTTTACTTATTACTTAGTGCTCCATTAGGCAAAGAACTGCATGAATTATCTAGTTGTATATACGGCGTTGCATGTGGCGTTCTGACATATTTGTGAATCATATTGCCACCTTTGGTTGCATATTGAGAGAGCGAGAGCGCATCGCATTCACTTTGGTTCAGTCCCTTTTTTGCTAGAGCCAAATGAAAATGGTTTTTGGACCAGGTCCAAATGCCTAAATGCGTTTTGGGAGGCGGCAGATGACGCGCAAAATAGATAGAGAGTGAGATAGAGAGATAATGGGGCAAAGAGTGAGATAGAAGAAAGTACGAAACTTTTATGGGAAAACATTTCGGAAATTATTAAATTAATTCCAGTGGCTGTCAAAACTAACAGGAACTAGAAAGCTGTAAAATTATAAAAAAAATGCCAACTAATTGAGAATGTTATATAATTTATGACCAAATAGCACTCCAATGAACATGACAATTTCGTTCTAAAGAAGTTCAATGTACTAATAAAGAAATATAAGAAAATTATTTTTACATCATATACTAAAAAACTCAAAATAGAATTCAGATATTTTTTAAATCATAATAAAATCATAGATTTATCTAGTATCTGTGGGCATTCGTATAATGCATGCAAATCAGTGGAAACTAAGAATTTGCTAAAAATAAAAATTGAACAACGCAGATGTATAATTCCAAAAGGAACATTTCCGTTTTTAACTTTTCTATTATACTTTTTATTTTTATATTTGTGGCAGTGAAATTTATAACGTCTTTCAACTGAATTTATGCTTTGTTTTGATGAGTAGCTCATAATGTTCTTGTACTTTCTGGCAAGTGCGTCGTCTTCGGCTGCCACGCAGTGTTCAAAAAAATAAACTTAGATAGATGCTTCTCAGGCCTGTTTGTGGTGTCACCCGTAAGCAGCTTAATTGAATTAAATTGGGCCAAATGTGTGGCCCGGCATGTTAATCAATTGATATGTCTCTGTCTGTATCTAAAGTGGGACCCTCACAACTCACGCACACTGGGGCAGCAAGAGCTTTTGCATAGAGTTTGATTAGTTAACTTTGTTTTGTGGTCAACGAAACTGAACCAAACGAGCAAATAATAAACGACATGCGCCTCTAAGGTGTCAATTTAAAGATAGAAGATCTATTGGCCACGGACCGAAGGTCAACTAAAATAAATCTATATATATTAAGTTATATTGTATTCAAGCCTCGGCCTGGTCGCTAGTTAGTCACAGCTGCTTAGTAAGCAGTCCGAAATTAGTTGCACTAATTAATGTTCGTCTGCTCTGCTTGCACCTTTCTATTTGTCGACTGACTCATTGGCTGTATATATACGGAAATATGAAAATATTATCAAAAAACTATAATAAGTGGCCTGATTAGGTACGCATTTCACAGATGATATTGCACTTTGTATTTCTACACAGCTACCTAGGTACTCGGCTATATAATCTAATGCGACTTGGTTATAGGCAGTGCGTATTTGTTTATAAGCCATTAAACAACTGCTTAAATATCTCAATTAAATATATTAACAACATTTGAATTGAATTAGTTAGTTGAGACTATCTTCATCTTAGATCTTAGATAAAATTCCTTATCGATTGCCAGTCGAAAGGCATTCCATTGTATATTTAATAGACTGAAGAGTTTGGGTTGAGTTCACCTGGCACTGACGTGACTTTAAGGGTGCGGGGGCGTTATTTAATCATGCCGCGCCGGCGTTTCGATTATGAGTATTGATAACGAATTTACATTTATTTATAGCCATCGATTTGAAAACAGAGCGCACTTTCTGACCCGTTTTGAGCTGAACCGAATCGAATGGAACCGAACCGAACGAGCGCCGTCTCGCTTACTCACATACACCAACGGCTGCTGCTGCTACCTGATCGCTTGGTAACCCGTTTCCGTTACCGATTCGTGTTGAGGCACCAACTCTAATATACACTGGCTACTTTATTGGGGGAAACGACAACTTTACGGTCTCGGACTGGGACTGCACCACGTCTGCGGTGGTTCTGTGGCGAGCATGCACTGAAAGCGTTTTTTTTTATTTATATATATTTTTTGGCATTAAGCGAACTTGCGCTGATTGATAAGGCAGCAAAATCGAAGCGCAGCAAATCGCACCGCCAGCGTCTGGCCTGTCACTGATCAACTGAGATGTCTCTGTGCCCTGTGTGTGTGTGTGTGTGTGTGTGTGTGTGTGAACATTTGTAACAGTAGCTGCAGCGGCATCTGTAGCCGTGTATCACGTATCTGTGTGTGAGCTTGTATGGGTAAGCGTAATCGCTGCAATCCCAAAGGTAAGACAAATGCAGCGACTGAGGCGATCATCTGCCCGCACCTTGCCGCAGCCATTGCCAGACAGCCGCTTGCATAGAGAAATGCTCGTGATCAGCGACGTCGTAGTCTACTACCCTCTGAGAGCGACAGAGAGAGAGAAAGAGAAGGGGCATCATGCTATGCTGATCAACTGTGCCACATTAATTATTAGATAGGACACGTAGAAATTGCTTAAGGCAATATTTAATAAATATATATATTTTAACTGAATTAAAGCATAATTTAGAATCAGCTGGAATCAAGGTGCAGAAAGCTAGTTTAAACATAGTAAAATTTAACTAAGTCGGCTCTTTAGGGTATTTAAACTTCGTGGCTTTCCCTTACATGAGCTGAATTTGTTCGCAAATATCTTTACTGCCCATAGTATTTACGATCTGGCTTATCAGCTACACAAATGGCTGTCAACGAAAGCCACTTGTCAGAAATGATATCCCGCTGCGATTTTGATAATATGTTATCCAAATGTTGCGGCTATTAGCGATTCGTTATGTTCGAATCGTTATCAGTGCACGTTTCAGATTTGCTTTTGCTTTGTACAAATTGATTGCTGTTGTAATAAGGGATTTAGCAGATAAGTTTCACAGATGAGAAACTAGAAAGAGAGACGCCAATAGCTGAACATGAACTGGCTAAACTAATGTCTCTCTCTCTATGAGACACTTTGTATGTTAGCTTTGAACTTACTTTGGCTCATTTATCAAAAATAGCATTAGCTAAAGCGAAAGGCCTTCAATTATCCTCACATGATCTTGCATAATTATTAACTACGTCTGTATATAATGAGAATATCTATGTATTTCTGTATCTTCTATATGCAATTCTACATAAGATTTCCATACTTTAATTTGGCATTTCTTTTTGCTGTTCTGTGCCACCCACTCTACAAGCCACAACAGCTGACTGTGCTGGCGCTGAATGATATTTCTTATTTATAAATAAGCAAGATAATATATTAATATATATACATATATATATATGTATATATGTATCTTCATAATATATATATTTTTTATTTATGGCGAATTAACCAAATTGACAAACACACGTAACATGCCACACCGCCTATGGATTGTATGCTACTGCGTCTTCAGCGCCTTTGCGACACCAGGAGCGCCGGAGCTGTGGAAACTTTGGCGGGCACCCAATCGATTGTTGGTTAATTTTTTTGGATGTCAAAACAATCAATAGATTATACAGCTCATAAAGCTCATGCACAAGCGACACGTTTTATGTCAAGTTGCGTCCACGGATAGCGCTAAGTAGTCAAGTATCTCGCGGCTACATAGCTCGGTGTGTGTGCGCGTGTGTGTGTGTGCCGCGGTCAGTGCGTGTTTCGTCTTTGGTGTGGGTGGCTCTTTTGGCGGGGCAGCGCGTGTATTTTATTTATATTTGTATGACATTGCTACCCACCGAAATGTCAAAAGCAAACAAAGCCAAGCACGGCCACAATAATAATAATAATAATAATAAAAGCAACAACAACAACAACAGCAATGCGAAAATCGCTTGTGCCGTATTGGATCCAGACACACGCGCAGATACAGATACATTTGCACAGATACTTTCGATTTTCACATGCTTTCGTTTTCCGCTGGCTTCGCTTACAGCTCATGCTTTGATTTGAATGGGCCATTTATTGAAGCCTCTTTGGGTTAGTAGTCTCTGAGCATTGCCAAAGATGGTGTCAAGGGCTGGGCAAAGATTTTCCTTTGTTTGTGTTTCATGTCAAATAGATAAACAGATAGACAAATAGAATAGTAGGTGTAATTTGCTTTGAAGAAATGCCGATTGCTCATATCTCTAACTGGCATAACAGTAGCTAAGTTGTTTTTCTCTTTTGGCCAATTGTGTTTGTAGGAAATGGAAAATAGGTGGGCAAGAGTATGTGAAGGAGAAATTGTTTCTCTATAGCTTGGAATTTAAATATGTAAATTGGTAAGCTATAAATATCTATCAAAATTAATGTAATAAAGCTATGAATTTCTGAGTCTAGAGTCATTAATATTGAGTGATGGACAAATTTATTATATTCAATAAAAATTATTTAAAATATATATATAACACATAAAATTAATCGAAAATATAAAATATATATAATATATAAAATATATAATATTTATAAAATATATAAAATATGTAAACTATATTAATTAAAACTCCATTAAATCTGTGTAAAGCTAACAGCAAAAATTGTCATTTCCCTAGAAAATTCTACTTAATTTATTCATGTTCCATGTTCCACTCGTATTCAGTTCAATGTCAAAATAAAAAAATTGAAACACTTGTTCATAATTATATAAATTATGACTACAACAATGCGGCCTGGCTAATTTGTATAGGGCAAACAATAGCAAAAAAAATTATGCACGCACAGCTTATGTATATAAAAGATTCGCATATGCGTGTGTATATAGCCATGATTCTATTATGATTACAAATTTTTACTAACCTGCCTGAGTTGTTGTTGAGTTTTTTAGTTCCAATAGATTTCCTTTTTTCTATTCTCCAAGTTTCTGGCCTGCCCGTTGACGTTGTAATAAAAAAATATGTGTTGTCAGAGCTGTCGCATAAATATCGCATATATATATATATATAATATATATATCTATATATTTATGTTTATATATATATTTATATATGGTATATACAGTTTGGAAGTCGTCGTTATGTTTGGCTATGTATTGCGTGCTTTGGTATCGTTATGTAGTAGTATATACATAGCCACCGCTGCCTTAAAACTGTGCCAAGGAGGTGACCCAGCGAGTGGGGCTGACGAAGGATTTGCCTGGCCTGAACTTTCACTTTTAGTGCACACACGCGCACACACTCACGTTTTGTGCCCACAGATGGCGCTAGTTGCTTAGATAACACTTTTCGTTTCTTTACTTTTTTCTATTTTTTTTTTAATATTTTATTATCAAATTGTGTGCACTGTTTTGAAGGCGGATATGTTTGGTTTAAGACTTTATTTTATTTGACGTATTTTTACGAGCCTTTCTCTCTTTCTTTCACACACGCGACGGCTGGGGAAAGTTGTGTTTATGAAAACAGGGGCTAAGACCGTCGGGTTCTATTCGTGGCGAATGTCAAGCACGCCGAGACACACACAACAGCTCACGCCAAATACGATATACAAAATTTCAATTTCAATTTAAATCCATTTCTGTATTTTGCCAGCGCTCGTCGTGGCAGCCGTGGCAGCACCGCCAGTTGTAGTGGCAACGACGGCGACTTGGTCGCAATAAGAGTGTCATTCAAGGGCATTGCAAGGTCGTAGCAGCTCACCAGCAGTCGACAGTCGGCAGTCGGTTCTCGGTAGTCGCTAGTCGGCAGTTGCGTCTTTCGCCCACTGGCGGCGGGCTACGCTGCTGAGAGTACGCATTGGCATGGGCCTTATTCAGATACATATACAAAGATACGAGCACTTTTTCGCAACCAAAAAGAGAATTTGTTCACATTCAGAGAGCGTCAGCGGTGTGCATGAGAATTGAGAGTTGGAGAGCAGCAGCTACCGGGTAGATCGCACGCTGCGCTTTAATTAGTATTAATTTGCCTTCAGTAGCTGATACTCAACGGCAACTGCTGCTGCTACTGCGAGCGTATCTTATAGATACAGTAACGCTTTAACTCACGAATGGCTTTCTAGAAATTTGTAACTGCGACCAGACGCGTCGGCTGCTGCATTGCGTTGCGATGCGTTTGCGATTCAGCCTGCCTGCTCGCCCGTGCGGTTGTCCTGTCGTGTGGCAACTGACTAATAGAATTCAAGCATGTTGCAAGCTTTGCGGCATGCCAGAAACTCTCACTTTTCTCTATACTTCATCTGCTCTCCGTCTAATACAATGGGTGGGCTTGGGTGGTGTTGGCGTGTTCTGAGAGAGGGAGAGGGAGAATCACCAATTTCTTTGCTATCGAACAGTGGTATAAAAGCTTAGGTAAATCCAAAGAAATTTAAAGTTCATTGATAAATTATTAAAATGTTAAAGGTTAAATGCTAATATGCGTAAATTGTCTAAATAAGTATATTTAATAAAGAATTTATAATTTGAACCATTATTATAAAATATATGGAACAAGTTAGTTCAGCTCACTAGCTAGCTTCCGCTTCCCTTGTCTTATTCCATTTCCACCCCAAAATTTAGTATTACCTGTTCCAGAACTATTATAAACTATTTAAAAAATCGGAATAAGCCAATTAATATTGTCCCACTGTATCATGATGTGCTGCTCACATAGTCTCATTACGCTCTCTTACTCTCTCTCAGTTCTTCTCACTCCACCTAGTCAAGTGTAAAACCGGCGTTTTTTTTATAGTTTTATTTTGTTATTGTTTTGCTTAATGTTTGTTAACAATTTTCTTCATTGTTTTGTTTAGTTTTCAGTTTGTTTTTAATTTGCAATTTATTTATTGTTTTGCCAGCTGCCAGCTTGTCTAAGATATTTTGCGTGCATACATATACTAATATGCTTGCCTCTGTGTGTCTCTGCATGAACATATTGCATATATGTACGTATATTATTTAATACCTTGGGAGCTCTGTGCTCCTCTCTCTCATCTTAAAGGTGCGTTGACCGCAATTGGCCTGCTTGATGCAACAGTACTGCAATTACTGTGCTCTCAATGTGTATGTGTAATATGCAGATGCAGCTGTACATGTGCAGATATGTATGTATTTGTGTACATGCTGGCCTGGGCATTGTATTCATACGTAACTCGAAATTATCCAAACAATCAAGCGTACGAACTATTCCGCTACGCTATGGGTGTAGTTCTCTCATCTGCTCGCATTATCTCTCTCTCTCTCTATCTCTCTTGGTCTGTTGCTCTGCTATTTGGATAATTCGCTCTTTTGTTCCACTTTCAGCTGTGGGTCAAAAGCTACTTTCGCTTTCATTTCAATGCGACGGCGCTCTCCCACAAACAAAAATCATTCTTTATTATTTACCTCTGCCACCGCACACTGATTGTGTCTAGAAGCTGGTTTAAATTTGCTTTAAAGCGGCTTTATTTAGCGCGTGATTTTGATTTGGTAATAATTATTTATAGCAATTTATATCCCGGAGTTCTTATATTTGATAGAAATTTAATGATTTAGATAATCAAACTTTAAACATTATATATATTTTATATGACTATCAATAAATATTAATTTTAACTTCAGTTAACAGTGTATTTTAAATGATTTTTTAATTGCTGTTGCACAATTTTAAATATCACTATTTTCTAACCATTTTATAAAATGTAAATCATTTGTAATATAAAACTAAAAATATATTTGCATACTTTTAGGTGAAAATCATATTTCATTTCTAGTTTGATAAACCACCTTTATTACAATTTTAACTTAAAAAATAATAAAAAACATTGCGATTTGTCAAAGTACTTCCATTTATTTCGAATTTAGTTAATGTTTTTATTCGGAGAAAGCTTTTCTGCGCAACTGCTTTGCAGCCCTGGTAGCAAACTAGGTTGAAGCTTAACATCCCTGTACTCGTTGCAGACAGCTGACTCGCTCTGACGATTGTTTTTACGTGTTTGATGTTTGCCAATTGCAAAATAAGCTTTAAATACGACGCTTAATACGTGTTTCCTGTGGCGTTTTCGCCTTCATATTGTACTGTCTCACCTACGCCGTCAGCAGAAGCGAAAGCTAAATTATATATACCAGATGTCAGCCACTTTGGTGTGTGCCAATTCCCAAAATCAGCAGTCTACGCAGGTGCCCGCTTTACCAATTCAGCAGCAGCAGCTTCTACTACGACAGCAGTTGCTGGGCTGCGATGGGGCAGCCACAGTTCCCAATGTAAGTGCAATTTTCATTTATAATCTGCGAAGGTCAGTCAATTCAGAGCATCAGCCCAGTGACTCGTTGCCATGGCAACTGTAAACAGTTGGATTTTGGTTCTGAGCACAGCTGATTCTCCCCTACAATTGCATTCAATTGAAGTTGAGCATATTTCAACTTATATGTTGTATGTAACCAAAACCAGCTGAATGTGCAGTATATTAAATGTCATGTAACAATGCTCTTAACTATTTAATAGCTTCATTCGTCATATTTTTGAGTTGAACACAAATCGAAATACAAAATACACATAAACAAGCCCTGCCTCGTATCGTATTTCGTTTCATGCCTTCTCACAGGCCATTTGAATCTCAATACAAGAACTTGCCTAACCAGTGAGCAGCTTGGTATTTGTCAGTTCTCAGTTGTTTGCGGAGGCGACACATACGAAGAGTCCCAAGCATAGGAAAGCAAAGTAAATTTCATTACCAAGTTCACTATATTTTTTCCTATATAAATTTGTTTTCTCTAGATGCTGATTGAGGATGAGGTTCATGGTGTCATTGAAATCCCAAGCCACATTGAGGAGATTCTGAATCATGAGATATTCCAGCGCCTCAAAAGAGTTAAACAAACGGGCTTACTGTCATTGGCCGTAAATCCAGCGTCTACTCAGACGCGGTACGAGCACTGCATTGGGTGAGCAGCTGGTGATGTGAAATGGAAATTAATTAACCTCAGCTGAATTACAGTACATACAAAAGCGCGCAAGATTTGCTGACTGCCCTGAAGCGAAATTCTAACTATGAGCGGGAACTGCCAGAATGGTGTCGACAATCGGTAGAGATTGCGGCGCTGCTACATGATGTCGGACACGGTCCATTTTCGCATTACTGGGAACAAGTTTGTGGTAAAAGCTTCGATGTGAGTAACTGTCAACTGTTTATATTTGTTATACTATAATACTAATATGCGGCTAATTCCGTAGCATGAGCAAAACGGTCTTGTCTGCGTGGATAAGATATTTGCTGACATGAAAAGCGAAATATTGCGGTCTCTTCGCGATGACAATAACGGGCGAGGTGTTCAATTGATCAAGGCGCTGATTCTGGATAAAAGTGAGTTGCTCACTTATCCAATGATGGGACATGGCTACCTCTTTGATATTATTCACAACAGTCGCAGCGGTCTCGATGTGGACAAATGGGACTATCTACGGCGCGATAACAAGCGCCTGAAGTTGCTGAGCGACGAAGATATGCAATTCGATGACGTCTTCCTCAAGGCACGCATTGCACCCGATGGCCAACGCATTGAGTACCGTTACGACGACTTTCATCTGATATATAAGCTCTATATGGCACGGTGGCGCCTCCACATAGGTGCCTACCAGCAGCCCAAGGCTCTGGCCTTCGATTACATCTTGTGCAAGATTGTACGGCGCTGTAAGCCACACCTATTGGATGTGAGAGCTGATTCCAAGGAGTGGCTAGATTTATATGATGATCATGTACTGCAGTTGATAGACTGCGATCCCCTAACAGTTTACCTACGTTCACCGGAACGCTGGATTGAGTCAGCTCCCTGTGACGGCAATAATGAGGAATGTGTGTGCGTGCTACGTAAGAAGACGGCGCCTGGCGTTGACATGCATTCCGATGAGTCCTATCCGCTGTATGGCGACCCCAGGTACGTTTCTCATATCATTTGAATACAATGAACTGTTTATATTCATTCTATTTTATTTTGTCAACAGTAAGAAACGCAGCTTTGATCGACTAACCACTCCGACCACAATCAGCGCTTGCTATACTTTGCAATAGCCACACGTCAACAGCGAGACTCAATAAGTCCTATTTATATTTGTTTACGTTCTTTATGTTTGTCATTATATATTTTAATTAATAAACTACAAAGTGTGTTTTCAACTCAGAAATATCTTTTTGTTCTGCTTATTGAACTCTGTCGTAATCTTGGCCAGGTTTCATATAATATATATATTGATAGCAATTGGGGCAATCAGCTGCTTTGACTCTATGTCAACCCAATTCTTTTCGATTTTATTCCCTCTTATTCGGTGCCTTTTGAAATTAAGAAATTACTGTATTTTATAGTTCTTATAATAAAATTTATTATTTTTACAGTTTGTGAGCTTAAAATTCTTATCGCTATTTAAGATTAGGCGTTTATAAACAACAAATTTCAACAGTTCACTTGAAGACATCACAATTCGAATGCATTTTTCATAATCACTAACTAAACAATATAAATATGTTTATGCTTTTGTATATAATATATGAATAAGTTGTAAAGACCATTTTGAAATATACAAAAATGTTAAACAATCAATTATTTTCTACAATATGCTTGGGCTCGTATGGAAGGGTAGCGCAGTTGGCTACAGGATCGATTATTATTTTTACAAATGTGAACAGCATTGCGCCCGGAGGTTGACTCAGTTGCGCTCTATTGCTGCTGCATGTGCCGTTATAATCCGCTGCGGCAGGTGGGCAGCCAGGTACTGCTTGTGCAGTCGCTGGCGACAGAATTGATAGAACTCGATTTCATTTGTGAAGTTGCGACGCACGATGTCCTTGACGTGCTCGCTCACAGGCGGCTTGAAGTTGTTTTTGTTGATCTTGGTCAGATACTCGGCACTATCTGCAGGAATATAAAATAATTTTAGTATTGATTTTCTCTTAAAACTTTTATTTTACTAACTCGCATAGATATCCCGCACGCCCTCAAAGAAGCGTGGCACATATTTCTCCAATACAGAGAGCGTTGTATTGAAGTCTTCCAGGACACCAACCACGGCGTATTGCTGCTCCACAGCAAACTTGGCACGCTCCAAGGCGCCCACCGTGTTGAAGGGACTGTGGAGGCAAGAAATATATATTGCACATGATTTTTTTTTCTTAATAGTTGCCAACTCACGTGCACTCGTAATCATGTCCGCAGAAGAACAAGCTCTGGCGACGATGATCGCCAATGCCCTCGACTGTGACGCCTTGAGTGTAGGTGCACTCCTGATCACCGCTGAGCACGCACGTCTCGAAGTCCTTCTTCAGCCAGGCTGGATGCGGCAGCGGCAGGTCTGGGAATGCCGCCTTGCGCTCCACAAAATACCAAGGAGCACGCACATAGTAGAACCAACTAATCACACGCTCCACGGGATCACGCACCACATTCAAGTAAATCGGCGTGGGCAAATTGAACTTGGTGAAGTTGGTGAAGCAGACGTGCTTAATGAACACTGATGGTTCGGGCAGCTCACTGATGACCTCGGCCATTTCCTGCTGCTGATCCTCGGCCAGGCGTATGGTCTCCACCTTTTGGACGGCGTCGCGATGAAACTGAAAGTTGTTGCGCTCCGACAGGCGACGCAGCAGCTCCATAAATGTCTGGCTGCCCACCTTGGGCACGCGATTAAAGAAGACCAGCTCCATCTGGGCCTTGCGCGTGTTGTTCAGATCGCGCACATTAAGCGTGGCCATCTGATGCAAGAGAAATAGAACGTGTTAGAATAGAGAAGAGACGAATTAGATTGAGTCTATTTTGTTTTTTAATTTAATTTGCCTTTTGTTATTAGCTGCAAACATAGTTACCTCATGTTCCTTGGTGTTTGATATTTAATTGGTTTCTAAATATATTCAAAAAGAGTACAAGAAATCGCAACTTGCTATGTGAAAAGAGCTTTAAGCAGCTTAAAGCTGCAAAGCTAACTATTTAGGGACAAGAACATTCAGCTTCAATATTCCAAGCAGCTTTAAAACTTGAAACCAGATTAAAAATAAATATAATTATTTAATATATTTTATTATTAATTATGTTATATGATATTATTATTTTTTATTATTTTTTTTAGTTTTTCAAAATTATAAACAAATTTTTATTTTTAACATATAGTTTTAGTTTAATTTTTGGAGATTTAATTTTTTTGTTTATTTTTCTTATATTATATTATATATTTTTATATTCAGCTGCTGCAAATTTTATAAAAAATATAAAAACCTTTTTTTAATAATTAATTTTTACAGATTTAATTTTATGTTTATTATTTTTTATTATATTTTATGAATATTTATTATGTTATTATTATTATGTATTAGATTTAATTTTATGTTTATTATTTTGTATAATATTTTATTAATATTTATTATGTTATATATTATTATTATTTTCAGCTGCTGCAAGTTTTATAAAAATATAAAAAACGTTTATTTCATATTAATTTTAAATTTAATTTTTGGCATAAATTGAGATTAATCGTGTTGTCGCATCAGTGCACATTCTTCTCCAGTTGCAGCGCCAAATACTGTTTGTATAGCCGCTGCTTGCAGAAATTATAGAAGTCATATTCCCGGCTAAAATTACGCCTTACCATAGCCCTAACATCGGCATCCACTGCATAGCCACGATTGAAATTTCTATAGCTTTGTTTGTGCACTGCGAAGAGAGGGAGAGAAAGAGGCTGGGGATTGGGATTGGGAATAGGATATGATAAGAGTTAACCTACAGCTGTACAGGGAGCGCGCATGATTGAAATATCGCGGCACGTACTTCTCCAATACAGTGAGCGTAATGTTTGGCTGCTCCCAAGTGCCCACCACGGAGTATTCCTTGTCCACATTGCGTTTGGCCAGTTGCACTCCATAGCGGGTATTGAAGGGTCTGCAGTTGGGTAAATTGTACTGTAATCGTCGCAGTCCTTAAGGGCTTTACTCACAAGCAGTCCACGTCATTGCCGCAAAAGAACAAGGATTGTCTCTTGAAGTCCTTGACTTCATCTTTCACCGAATATTCTATATATTGACACTCGGGACTGGCACGGCGTACGCATTCATTGAAGCTCTGCTTGTACCAGGCATCCGTGTGCTGGGAATAGCCCGGATAGATGTTGCGACTTATCATCTGCTTCGTCAGCGTGCGCTGCTGATAATAATTATCGATCATGCGCTCCACGGGATCTCGGACTAGGGATATATAAATGGGTTTGCGTCGATAATATGCCCCGAAGTTGATCCAATTGCCGTGCGCCAGATAAAGCGTGCCATTCTCCAGTCGACTGACCCAGCGCGTCTCAATCCTCTCCTCCTTCGACGTGCGCATGCGACTCAATCTGCGCACAGGTCCCTTGAGCACCAGGTTGACGCTGTTATGCTCGCAGAGCAGGCGCAGCAGCGGAAACATGTGCTGAGTGCCCACGCGAGTTGGACGATTAAAGACGACGACCCGACGTCGAGCACGTCGCGTATTGTTCAGCCGCAGCGTGGTAACATTGATGAGCTAAGAGAGCAGTTTTTAGCTAGATAATTGTAAGCCCAGACAACACAGATAATTGTGAGTAAGCAAAGGGTGAGTTACAAAAGATATGCGAAGGGGAACTATGAATTCGACTAGACTCTAAATAACTAATATATGTAGAAATCAGAAGACTTTTATTTATAGATCAGGCCATGTATATATATACTATGTGATATCTTTGGGTCTGTTGAGATAAATGCTTTAATTGCTTGCTAATTGATGCCTGCTTAGGATCTATGCGAAGTTGAAGCGCTCCAGCTCCGCCCGCTTCAGCGCTATGTACTGCTTGAAGAGGCGCTGTTTGCAGAAGTAGTAGAAATCATATTCATAGGTAAAATTACGCTTGACCATGGCTCTAACGTCTGCATCGACTTGCGGCTTGCGATTGTTACGATTTCGATTCTCTAGCGAGCTCTGATACACTGCAAAAAGTAAATTGTATTTAGCTGCAGCTCAGCCAGCGTGTGGCGTCTTACTTGGATAGAGCGCGGTGGCACGTGCAAAATAGCGCGGTATATAGTGCTCCAGCACGGTGAGGGTAATATTTGTTTCCTCCCAGGTGCCCACAACGGCGTACTCCTCCTCGACCCTGCGTTTGGCCATTTGTATGGCCAGCGGCGAGTCGAAGGGTCTGCAAGCAACCGAATGGCTTAAGAAATGTTGCTGGCCCCATTGCTTAAGCCATTAACAATTGGGATCAAAAGCGAGATATATCTTCTACTCTTTCAATGAACTTCAGAGTCTTAGAGACGAAATGTTGCTCAATGCTAAACTCTGCTTTGCTTGACACCGCATGTTAATGGGTTAAGGGTGCCCAGGGGCTACTCACAGACAATCCCGATCGTGACCGCAGAAGAATAGCGACTGTCGCTTATAGTTGCCCACGTTATCTTTGACCGAATACGGCACATATTGGCATTCGACGTCGCCGCTGCGAACGCAATCGTTGAAGCTTTTCGTGAACCAGGCGCGGGGCTTGAGTGTGGCACTTTGGTGCTTTCTGTAGAATATGGCATTGAAGTAGGAGTTGCGCACATAGTAATACCAGCTGATCATGCGCTCCACGGGATCACGCACCAGGTTGATATAGATGGGCTTGGGCAGGTTGTATTGATGGAAGTCGATCCACGAGGTGTGCTCGATGTAGACAGTGCCTGGATCTTGGTTATAAAGGCGGAGAGCGCGCTTGACTTGCTGCTTGGGCGTTAGCAGACGGGGACAGCTCTTCTTCAGGCCCAGATGATCGACATCAAAGTCATTGATGTCCTGTAGGTTCTCCATGAATTCGAGCAGCGATTCGCTGCCCACCTTGGCGCAGCGTGTGAAGAATAAGCGATCCATTTCGGCTTTGGGCGTGTTGTTGAGCTGCGCTGGCGTCAGATCATGCAGCTGGCAGGAGTTGGGATGGTGGGAAGGGTAAAGGGATTAAAGGAAGTGCAGTTGACACACACACACACACATAGGATTAGACACAAAATGGACTGGGCTGTGCTCGCGCAAGTAACAAAGAGTTTTTAGTGTGTTTTGTTCTGAATCTACAAATAAATTTATTTGTCTGGCATAATACGTTATCACCAACTACAGCTGCTCGACTAATTCAACAATCCGTGCTTCTCCAGCTCATGCAAGTTGAGGGCCAAGTATTGCTTATACAAACGCTGCTTGCAGAAATGATAGAACTCATATTCATATGTGAAATTGCGCCTAATCATGTCCTTGACCTCTGGCTCAATGTAGGGCTTACGCTTGTTCTTATTCCGATTTGTGATCTTGTTACTATGCACTAATTGGTAAGGGTAAGGGGTGGAGAGAGAGGGTTAACGGCAACGGCATTTGGCAGGTGAGATTTCGTTAACCTACTTTCATACATCAGCTTGGCGCCGCGAAAGAAACGTGGTATATAGCGCTCGAAGACGGTCAGCGTTATGTTCGTATCCTCCCAGCTGCCCACCACTGCATAGTCTCGCTCCACATGCTCCTTGGCCATTTGTATGGCTGTGGGCGAATTGAAGGGACTGCAAAGTGGACGCTTGGTTCAAGACGCTCGGTTCAGAGTGGGCATCACCGCACGCTACTTACATACAATCGGAGTGATGGCCACAGTAGAAGAGCGATTGCCTCTTGAAGTTCGGTATGAAGTCCTTTACTGTATGCGGCACATACTGGCACTCGGGATCGCCGCTGCGCACGCAATCGTTGAAGTTCTTCTTGTACCAGGACTCGGGCTTGATCTTCTTGTTGGGCGATTTGCGGAACTCGATGGCATTCTTGTAGGAGCTGCGTGCGTAGTAGAACCAGCTGATGACCCGCTCCACCGGATCTCTGACCATGTTTATATAGATCGGCAGCGGCAAGTCGAACTCGCTAAAGTCCAGCCAATTGACGTGCCTTATGTAAATGGTACCCTCGTCCAGGCCAGCCACCAGCTCGGCAGTTTCTCGTTGCACTCGCTTTGGCATTTGCCTCACTGTGCCCACATGCAAGCCGCTGCGCTCCAGTTGCAGGTCATCGTTATACTCGACCAGTGCCGTAAACAGCTCGAGCATTGCCTCGCTGCCCACCTTAGCGGCACGATTGAAGAACAGAACATCGATTTCGGCAAATCGTGTGTTGTTCAGGCGCTCGGCACTCAGATGTTGCAGCTGCAGAACAGTTTCGTATCAGCTTTAAGCTCATATAATCCGCAGTTAGTCGCGAAGTAGAAGCAGTTGCCTTAGTAGTTCCGAAGCAGTTCAGTGGGAGCAGTTAAACTTATAGCATAGATAGCTTGGTTCAAGACTTAAGTGAAGGTTATTAAAAAGGCCTAAGCAATAAATCCTTCTAGCCCTTTCAATTTCTAATTCTATATGCACTTTAATAAATAAATAAAGCTATGAAAATAGTTTCTATTATATTAGCTTGCATTTTTATTTAAATAGCCTGAAAATGTAGATTCCATTACTAAACTAAGTGCTCCACTAGCTACTCTCTTATGGCCAGCTCGTTGCCCGCCTTCATTTCAACTAAACTATTGTCCAGTCGCATCAGCTCATTGAGCTTCAGTGCCAGATACTGTTTGTGCAGTCGCTGGCGACAGAATTGATAGAATTCGATTTCGCGCGTAAAGTTGCGTCGCACCATGTTTACGATTTCCTCACTAATGTGAGGCTTCATCGGATTGTCATTCGCTTTGGCAGCGTGAAGGCCCGCTGCAAACAGCGTCGTTAGTGTAAACGGCAAACGAGTGTTCGACTGCTCTGTACTTACAGTAGTACATTTTGGAGGCGTTCGCAAAGTAGCGCGGCACATAGGCCTCCAAAACGGCCAGGGTCTCGTTGGTGTGCTCCCAGGTGCCCACAACCGCATATTCGCGTTCCACATTCTGCTTGGCCAGCTGCAGGGCCAGGCGCGAATTGAAGGGTCTGCAGTTTTGGGTTAGTTGTGAGAGTGGAAAGTGAACGACTGAGACTGTGTCACACTCACGTGCATTTGAACTCGTTGTGACCGCAGAAGAAGAGCGTTTGACGGCGATGATCGCCGACACGCTCCAGCAGCGAGCCCTCAATGTAGGTGCAGACCTTTTCGCCACTGAGCACGCACTGATCGAACTCGGTGTTGACCCATTGGGGATTAGGCATTTCGCGATTGTTGCGCCGACGACCGGGCACAAAGACCCACGGGGCGCGTATATAGTAATACCAACTGATGACGCGATCGACGGGATCGCGCACCATATTGATGTAGATGGGTCGGGGCTGCTCGTGCTTGGTGAAATTCAGATAGTTGACATGGCTGGCAAAGACGGTGCCATCCTCGAGGCCCACTATATTATCTATCCAGTCGCTCTCCTCGGTCTCGTCGAGCAAGGGCCGAATGCCGCCATTTTGTGGATCTTTTTCCACATCATAGTCGTGCACCCTGCCCAGGGCACGCATTAGCTCTATCAGCTGTATGCTGCCCGTTTTGGGCACACGATTATAGAAGAGCACATCGATCTCTGCCTTCTTGGTATTGTTCAGCTCATTGGGATTCAGCTGCAGGATCTGCAAATACCGTTTGAGAGCTCAGAAGCGCATCCAGACACAGTGACTGCAAGCAGCAAGCAGCGACCCAAAAACCGACTTCAGATTAGTAGCGAAAAGGAAGAGACTCGTTTCATTTCTTTTTATATATGTATAATACTAAATTGCTGTATTTGTTCGAGATAGGCATAAATCAAATCTTAATCTGTGGCGATTCAAACGCTTCTGTTTTCAGTGGAGCTGCTATCCTGAACTTGCACCTGCTTTCTGATGGCTATGTACTGCTTATAGAGGCGTTGCTTGCAAAAGTGATATAGCTCAATCTCGTAGGCAAACTGTTGCTTCAGATAGGCCTCCACATCCTCGTCTAGGTGGCTGTCGTGCGGCGTGGCGTTTATCATAAACTTCTCCTGATGCGCTGCACACACACAACATGAAAAATATGCATTAAGAAAAGAGGAGGAGAGAGAGAGGGGGGGAGAGTGGACCTACAGTAATACTGATTTGTAGCATCGGTAAAGAAACGAGGTATATATGCCTCGAGCACGGCCAGTGTTATGTTTGTATCCTCCCAGCTGCCCACAACGGCATATTCCTTTTCCACATGCAACTTGGCGATTTGGGTGGCCATCTCGGAGTTGAAGTGCCTGAGGAATGGCAGCAATTAGACCAACAGCCAGTCAACTGGTGGGGCAGTTACCTACGTGCAGACGTTCTGATTGCCACACAGATGCAAGGTGAAACGGCGCCAGTCTTGGTTGTATGGTAAATGCGAATCAAATACGCATTCGGGCGCTATGCGTTGTCTGACGCAATCGTTGAAACTCCGTTCGAAGAACTCCTTGCGCTCTGTGGGCTTATTCGGATTGCGCAACAGGCTATTGGCATAGATCATGGGATGCCGATGGTAGTAATAGGCACTGATCACCTTCTGTATGGGATGCCTCACGAGATTTATGTAAATTGGTCGTGGCATGTCGTGTGCCGTGAAATTGATCCAATTTGTATGCTCTACATAGGCCGATGGCTCCTCCAGCTCTAAGAGCTCCTCGGCAAAGGCCAGCTCCTCTTTGAAGTTGTACACAATCTTCTTCGTGGGCGGTATCTCATTGCGATAGGTGGCAAAGCCGTGCAGTGCACCCAAATGACCCAACAGCTTTGTCATACTCTGACTGCCAACCTTTTCTAAGCGATTGAACAACACGAATTCACGTTCAGCTTTCGGCGTATTGTTCAGCTGTGCCGCTGTCAGAGTGTCCAGCTTGAACGGAAGACAAAAGTAGAGCTGGTCACATGCACCATGTGAACTTAGGCGGAAGCTAAGCAAAGCGAGTTAGTGGAAGAGTTGAAGCAGTTGCGAGGCCAGTTGAACTGATCTAACAGATCTCAAAACAAGTTCGATGATCATCCGAAATTTGAGTTTTATGAGCAGAACTTCCAATTGGTATTCAAAGATTTTATAGCTAAGAGCTGAGAGCGTTGCAAGCAGATCTCAGATTTGTCAATCAACGATTTTATATCTAATCACCTGATAAGCAGAGCTCAGTGCAGCTAATCATAGATTTGAGCTTTGAAAACAGATCTCAGATCTCCCTACAAAGAATTTATAACTTATCATAGATCAGAGCTCTGATAAGCAGCGCTGATAGCTAATCAGAGATCAGAGCTCTGAGATCATTTGCCTCTACTCAGACAACAAAGCTCCTAATTCAGATACTGAAACTTAATTGAATTTATGTTTAATAGGAAATGTCCTTGATCTTTGTTCTCCTACTGAAAAGCTTTCATATAAAATCAGAGCTCTTAAAGCTGTTGTCAAACCTTCCATTCAGAGAGATCGGAGCATTGAAAGCAGATCTCAGATATCCCATGTAGAACATTTATTACTACACAGAGATCAGAGATCACAGCTTCAACATCAGATATTAAAATTCAGCTTAGCTCTGTCAAAATATAGTTTTTTATGCTCCTATGCAACAGGAGTCATATCAAATCATAGATCAGAGCTGTGAAAGCAAGTCTCAGAGATCAGATCAGATCAGATCAGATCAGATCTAATCTAATCAGAGCTCAGAGCAACTCCTTGTTCTGCTCTTTAAATATTCCATATTCCATCAGAGATCACAACTTTAACTAACGATTTATTGCCAAGTACTGCTGATATAATCGCTGCTTACAAAAATAATAGAACTCATATTCGAATGTAAAATTAGCTCGTACTAAGCTCTTGATGTGCTCACTAATTGGCGGCTTCCAATGATTGGGCTGGGACCAGTCATGCAGAGGTTTCGCATCAAAGTACAGCTGAGTGGCGCCCTTAAAGAAGCGTGGTATATAGTGCTCCAGAACGGTGAGGGTTACGTTAGCATCCTCCCAAGAGCCGACGACAGCAAAGTGCCGTTCCACATGCCGCTTGGCGCGAGCTATGGCCGCTGGCGTATTAAAAGCTCTGTTCAGATCGATATTAAATATTAAAAAAAAAAAACTCCATTGCTGATGAGGCAAACCCACTCGCAAGCCGGCGCATGTCCACAGAAGAACAAGCTCTGACGCTTGTGATCACCGACATCGCCTCGAAATCCCATCCCAGAATCATAGCGACACTCGGCATCCCGTCTCAAAACACACTCCTCGAAGCTCTGCGTGTAGAAGTCGCGCTTCTGAAATGTTCCTTTGGCTTTATACATGCTCACAGCTGTCCAGGGCGTACGCTTGTGATAAAACCAGCTGATGACCTTCTCAACCGGGTCACGCACCTAGCAATGTCAGGGAATCGTAAGAAATGGAAACAGACTTCAGCAAGTGGCGTACCAAGTTCACATAGATGGGCTTGGCGCGAAATTCAACGTAGCCAACGGGCTCGACATAGGCAAGGGACGCGCTGGCTGCCAGATCTGAAACATAATGGCGCAAAGCCGATTGCTGCTTGGCATTTAAATGATTGGCAATGGGCCTAGAGAACGGCGTGTGCTCGAGAATAAATTTGTTGCGCTGCGCTAAACGGCTGAGCAGTTCGACGAGCGTCTTGCCACCTGTTCTGGGCACACGGTTAAAGAAGAGCAGCTCGCTGTTGCTCAACTGAGTGTTGTTCAGATTAGAGGCCTGGAGCTGCCACAGCTGCAAAGAGTACGTGAGAGGGAGAGAGATTGCTGAGCAGCGCGACAAACACAAACAAAAAGCGAAAGCTATCTATGAAAGCCTGGGATAGAGTCGACATATGCGCAATGTTATTGTGTTTAGGAATTTATTGAAGCTTAATTGATGTATATATATATATCTATTATATATGCAAGTCTGTTTAATACTCATAGTCATCTTTAGCATCATCGCCGCGCAGCTCGGGCATCAGCAAATAGTCATCCTCGCCAAACTTTTTGCCCAGCGCTGCGTACTGCAGATAGAGACGCTGCTTACAGAACTCGTAGAACTCGATTTCATTGGTCAGATTCTTGCGCAGTATTTGGCGCGTCTCGTCGCTCACGATGCGTGTGATGTTGTTGCGATTGATGCGGGAGAGTCGCTCCTCGCCCACTGCAAAATCGAGCCAAAGTTAGCAAATCCGTTTGCCACGCAGCAAATATTGAATCTTAAATGGTGCTTACGATAATAGGCCACCTTGGCGTGGCGAAAGTAACGTGGTATATAGTTCTCCAGCACGGTCAAGGTGATATTCGTATCCTCCCAGGTGCCCACGACGGCGTATTCCGCCTCCACTGTGTGCTTGGCCTTCTGCATGGCCATTTCCGAGTTGAAGGGCCTGGCTCAGGGATGGTTAGTTTCAGTGGGAGCTTTTGCTGCGAGTCGCCTCGAGTAGCTACTTACATGCACAGCTTCCTGTTCATGCCGCAGAAGAACAGAGTCTGCCTGCGATGATCACCCGCGGGATTTTTCACCTGCATTTGCTCAAAGGTGCACAGCGGATCATGCTTGCGTACGCAGGTATCCAAGTCCATGTTGAGGAACTCATCCGAGGGCATTTCGATGGCATTCTCGCCAAGCTTGGCCTTCATATCGTTGTAGTACCAGCGCGCGCGCACATAGTAATGCCAGCTAATAATACGCTCGATGGGATCCCGCACCAGATTTATGTAGATGGGTCGCGGCAGATGGTATCGGGTGAAATTGATGTAGGCTATGTGCTGGCTGTAGACGTGCGGCTTGGGCCGTGTCAATAGATCACCAATCAGATTCTTCTGGCCCTCCTTGGGCATCATGACCGTCTCCTTGACGCTGCCCGGATTGCGTGCATGCACAAAGCCATTGATTTTGCCCAGGCGTCGCATTAGCTCCATTAGCGACTGGCTGCCCACTTTGGGCACCCGATTGAAGAAGACGAAGTCCGCCTGCGCATGCTTGGTATTATTTAGCGCATCCGCGGCCATATTATAGCCAGGCTCGTCATCATCTTCATCATCCACAGCATCATCGACATCGTCGTCATCGAGCATATTCCTTGGCATCGCCAGCTGCCTGTCGTGACCAGCCTTGTGCAAATGATTGTGAGATGTGTGTGCCACATGATGATTGTCTAGCTCATGCATCCGCTCGCCGCTTCTGGGCGCGTGCACATTGTGAGCATGTAGCTGCATGGAGTAGGCTTTGATTAAAGATCTATGCTGTATCCAAGTCCCATGCCCAGTTCGAGGCCAGCAATAGCCGACTAACACTACACAGTTAGAAGAGTTTTGAGAGTTTGAAAGGACCAAGCTGGTCGAAAGTTAGAATGGCTTTTATTCTTGAAATCTTATGCGCTAATTGCTCAAGCTTTTCTCCAACTGCACTGCTATAAACTGCTTATTCAGACGCTGCCTGACAAACTGATAGAACTCGATTTCCTGCGTCAGATTGCGAGCGAGCAGCGCTCGTACCTGCTCGCTGATTGCGGGTCTGAATGCATTCCGATTCACATTTTCCATATTGTTCTGCATGGCATAGTACACATCCATGGCGCCAGCGAAATAGCGCGGTATATATGCCTCCAGTACACGGAGAGTTGTATTCGTATCCTCCCAGGTGCCCACCACAGCGTAACGCTGCTCCACATTCCGTTTGGCCTGCTGCATGGCTGCCTGGGAGTTAAAGGGCCTGCGAAGGTTGATTTGTTTTTGAGGGGATGCACTGAGGTTTCTTGCAGCGAGAGTTGCTCGATGAGTTAGCTGTGACTTGGGTGTCAAGTGAAGAACTTGCAGTGGCAGATATTCAAATTGAGCAGCTGAATATCTATTTAATACTCTATTATTTAGAAAGTTTTTGGTTCCACAATTATTTAAGGGCTCTCTAAATTTCTCAAAAATTATTTAGTCTTTTAGCTCCAAGCAGCTCGAATAGGTCTTATATAAATAGTACCTGTTCATACCATGTTTGCTTCATAGTCTAACTTTTATCTGGCCTATTAAATCTTAATATAATAATTTAACATTTTAAAACCTTTCCAGGTCAAAGAGCAACCTTATTCAATAAGCCAAATAGAACTAGCGTCTTATATAATTTCTTATCTTCATCAATCACGCTTTAGTCACTTGAAACTGATCGAGCAAACCTCCTCAATTACTCACATGCAGCGTTTGGTCTGTTGGCCGCAGAAGAACAGCGTTTGTCTCCTGTGATCGCCCAGATTTCCCATATCCAGCTGTTCGTAGACACACTCCGGATCGTGGCTGAGAATGCAACGATTGAAGTCCTTTTTGAGCCACTGCAGTGTTGGCATTTTGAACTTAGTGCCAAAGGCATTCACACGATCGGCCAGATACCAGGGCGCTCGAGCGTAATAGAACCAGCTAACCAGACGCTCAATGGGATCCCGCACCAGATTCACATAGATGGGCCAGGGCTGCCCGAACGTGGTAAAGTTCAGAAAGGCCATGTGCTTGGTATACGAATTGGCTGTGCTGCAATTGAGTATCTCAGTTTTTAATAGATTGCGTGCGAAGCCGGCATCCATGAGTATCTTTTCGTATAGTTGTTCGGGATCGCGACGCGCCTGGAATTTGTTGCGCTTGGCCAACAGCTTTAGCAGCTCCATCAGCTTCTCGCTGCCCACCTTTGGCACTCGATTGAAGAATAATGTATCCAGTTGAGCTCGCGGCGTGTTGTTCAGCATGGCGCTGGTCAGGTTTTGTAGCTGCCGGATTGCGAAAAGTGGATGCAGTTGGCAACTGTTGCAGTTGTTGTTGCTATTGCTGTTGTTGTTGTTACATTTACACACAAACACGGGTACAGGAAAGATGAGTGGGTAGCACAGCAAGTACACAAGTAAATGGAACACACATAGAGTTGTAGGCTATAAGCGGATTTATGTTGAAGCAACAGGCACAATTGGGCTGTGGGGCAATAGGCAACCTGTATTATGCATCAGGCAACAGGCAACAGGCATCTGGCCTGGCCAACTGGGCACAGTTTCTTTTTCATTTGCCTATAAACCCATCGACGTCAACGACGCGGCTTTCGCAACTGACACTTAGCCAAATGAAAATCCTAGTCGTGGACTTACCTTTACGCGTTTATGATTTGTGCAATAATTATAAATCGAATTTCTATCACTTCTATGATGCAACTGGCGCATCTGGCACTAGCCCAATCAAAATTTAATTAAAAAAAAAAAGAAGAAACTGCGCTAACAAAATTCCAAGACTGAGTCAAAGTGTAGTTTTTGTGTTAGTGTAAAGACAGAGAGGGAGAGAAACAGAGAGAGAGAGAGAGATAGACCAAAGAAGGTATCACAGCCTGAGCTAGAGAGCGAGCGCTAAGCACTACAAAAGGTTTCTAATCTATTGTATATATATATGTAGGTGTATATGTAAGTGTATGTGTATGTGCTGTATGCGTGTGAGACAAAGAGAGAGAGAGAGAGCGAGCGAGCGAGCGAGCGAGTGCTATGACATTCGATGAGCAAACCATATGAGTCCATTCACGTTGATGAGCGAGAGGGCAAGAGAGCGCTAGAGTGAGAGGCAAACAGCAGGCAAGAGACACGTCGAAATAAATATCAAACACCAAGGAGCCGTAGCAGAGCTACATTTGCAACGCTTTGAAATGCTTTGGATGGTTTCGCTGATTTTGAATTTTTTATGGCCAACCAAAATGTATGCAATAATGTTTACGACAAATGTATGGCAAATGCGAATCATAAAACATATATATAAACATATATATGCATATAGAAAATGCTTTTCGCTTACCTGACCAGTGCTCTTCAAATATTGATAGGTGCCATGGAGTGTGTTAATATCATCGTGCTCTACAAGAGGAGAAAATTATAGAAGAATATATTGAATTAAAATAATTTACAATTTATGTTTGAATATTCACTTAAAGAACTTGCTTTTGGGCTATTTTTAATAAAAAAACAAATGTTTTTTTAAAAAATTTCTACAATTTTCAAGCATTGCTGCATTTATAGTAAAATGACAAGCTAAATTAAATAAGAAACAACTATCAACTGTTAAATGGCTTGCCAAATAAAGCCGCATTGTCAACTTAAAGTTGTACGCCTCTAAAAAAACATGCTTTAAAAGAATTCCAGCTGCTTGAGGTTTTTAATCCATCGCTGCTGAGCTAGCAAAAACTATAACAATTTATAGCTGCTCAGCTCACATTCAATTTCACATTCAACATCTATTTTCCTTATGTCATTCCAGTTTCTGTCTATCAATTACAATTATTAGCTCATATTTCTGCATTGACCTTAGCCACTCACCGAGGGCAGTGCCAAACTCCGCCCCAGCGACATGTCTGTCAATACTTTTACTTTTTTTGTTGCGGGCCAAAGTGTTTATGCAATATTTGCGATAGGGAAGAGCACTCGATGAGCAAGTGGAACTCGCAAGCCGAGAGAAATATTAAACGAATGTCGAGTGAGTGTAGCTAAATATGCAAACTCATGAAGATTCCTTTCACTTTCGCACAGCGCCGCAGTCTGCAGGATGATCTACCCTATCGGGGCATATCAGATCCCGTCTAGTGAAAAAAGTCTTATTAACCATTTCGAAAGTTGGCACAATGAAGTCTTTTTCAATGTGTCCACTGCGTATTACGCTCGGCTGCACAGTGTTGCAAGGGCAATTAAAATTTTAATGGCCATGCATATGTCAGGCTCGGGCGTAGGTAGGCCCCAGCAGCAGCAGCAGCAGCATCAGACAGAGTCTGGTTTCTGTGTTAAGAGCTTGCAGTTAGTTGCACACTAAATGACTGCAATTCAGCATTTGGACAGGCGGAAAACGTCTTGATTTTTTTTTTTTGAGAGCTGCAGGAGATGGGAAGTGGCTTGGGTAGTGTGGGTAGCTCGCACCACTTTCGTTTTGCGGCTAAACATTTCATAATTTGCCCGCTGGAGCCTGGCTCGACGAACAAGGAAGCTGGCATCCAGTTCGAGTCGAACAAAACCAATGCCCATAAACCAGATTCGATGTGTGTTTGTGGTCTGGTTTTTGGTCATTGGTTTGGTCATTTTCACTGACTGATCTGAATGAAAGTCGCCAAGCATAACTTGTTTCTCGCTGACAAGTCACTGAACCAATGTGAAATACATTTTGTGGGCCAGACTGAAGCCTTTTTTCTGGCACTTTTTGTGCGGTCTTGAAATTGGGTTACATCCATGTATCTCATGCTGCTGCATTAGTTACACCCTCTCGGCTTGGCTACTCTACAATTGCTCAAATCCAGTTTAATTTTTTCATTCTTTATGCTGTTCTTGGCCAGCTCCGGCTATTGGCGCTCATTGAAGGTGAACCACATTACAGGTGTCAGCTACAGAGCACAAAAAACATACGTAATGAGCTCATGTACCCACTCAATCGGTCACTCGATATATATACAATTTAACAGCGGAACATCAAGTTGGTGTCAATTGCAGTTAGTAGAGATTGACTTGCAATTAGTAACATCATTAACCTAGTTCGTCTGTTATTTTGCTTAATTTTAAATAATTAATTTAAATTTCAAATAAAATATATATTTTTTTCTTTTAATAAAATCCAATTTCTTGTTTTGTTTTTATTTCAGCATCTCTCAGTAAAGTAGCAGCCACTTGGCTTAGCCCCTTTTTTTGCTGCTATTATTTGTGGTTATTTAGTTTCAACAGCTTTTAACTATAGTCTTGCCTGGCCCAAAGGCCAACTACCTGGTTAAGTGTCTATAGTGCGCTCCAATTGAAAATAAAACTTGTGTCGGTTTAGGCCAAACCGCATTTAACTGGTTTTTGCATGCAATTTTATTTGGTATTGGAATGGGAACTTTGCTCATGAATTTGTTTATTAAATTAATTAAATTTAAGTGTGCAATGGGAAGTGTTTGTAAGCATGAAATGAAATATCAAAAGAGCTTGACACAATTAAGAGCCATAGCAAAAGAAATTTTTAAAAAGCAAAAACTGTTTGAAAAAATAACGTAATTATTTTTATTAATTTTAGTTTGAAGTTAAAGCTTAGTCATTGACTTTGGCAGGCATAAGCCATGATTGTGAATAAATGGCAGATTTTAATAAATATTTAAACAGTTGTGTCTGTCGATAACTCAATCGGCTGCGGCAATATAGCTATGGCAAATAGTATCCCTGGGTCATTCTATATCTGACAGCTTGCATCCATTTTATCTACCATTATTAGTACCTTACTTTAGTAGTAATGTAACTGTATATGAAGTGCAAATAGCTATACATTCATAGCTACAAGAATTATCTTTTTAATCAAATCTCAGACTACGCTTGCATTGCTTTAGCTTCAAGAACATTTAACTAGCTGCAAACAGTGTTAACTTGCTCATCAGAGCACATATAAGCCGCAAGTTAACAAGATGCTACACACACAGTCACACCTAGCACAGCATAACGTTTTGCCTTGTTTGTTAATTAGCCCAAGTCAAGTTCAATGCGGCTGCCATATAAAAGAGAAAAAAAATTATTTAAACAGTTCAAGAAAAAATCAACAACAGCAGCTGAAGGTGTCATCAGCTTGACTTGTGTGAGTATTTCGAGTGTACTCGCATTTGTTTCTCCAAGTCGTGTGAGTCAATTAAATGAAATATTTATGAATGAATGAACGAATGCTTGGCTTAGGCTAAAAGGCGGTTGTCGCTGCTGCAGGCAACAAAACATATCTCAGCCGTGTCAAGCGAAGGTTTTTCTTTTATATATTCACTTTTTTCTCTCTTGTTTTGGCCATTAGCCATTTCTCATTGGCTTCGGGCCTAAACAGACAATTTGTAACTGTCGTCTGAGCTCGCAGCGGGCACAATTGACGCGTGCGCAGCCGCAGCCGCAGCCGCAACAACAGCTGCGCAACGGCAACCCACAACTGGCTGAATGTCTTCGTATTGGAGCGCATCTGCAGACAAAGCGACGTCAGAGTCGGAACTATCATCATTGTGATCACATGACCGTGGCACAGTGGTACAAGCCTGCAATAAATTGCAATATATGCTGTATAAAGTCAGGTCCATTCAGCTCGAAAGGCAAACTTCAGATTCGAAATATGCAGAAATACTTTTAGCCATTTGCTCTTACTCGGGTGAGTGTAGAGTTTTATCTTTATCATTTATATAATTTCATCAGCTACTTATCTCTCGCACGCCACTGTGCCTGGTTCACTTGGCTTTTATTGCCAGCAATCACCGCACTTTGGCGTGAAGCAGCCGTGTCGCATTCTCCCCCCGATCGAGCCCCCTGCGTGAGCCACGTATGAATCTGTCCGCTGGGTTTTTGGCATACTCTCGTCTGCGACTCTCGTATTTCGTCAGTGGCAGCAGCTGCCGCACCGTAAGCAGCTCTGACTAATTTGCAAGTGGAATTGCAGGCCTAGACGAACTCAAGCTTCCGGCATTGAAATTAGGGTTTTGCATGCGGAAAGTTTGATTTGATTTCGAATGAACGTATTCCGCCGTACTGCAGCTCGCAGTAATAATGGAGTTATTAGTTAGTGAGTTGATTGGACATAAGTGAGGGTTTCACTACCGAGATTCTAATGATAAGCCCAATTGCTATAACACCAGCTAGTTGCATAAAGAACAACTGGGGCACGTTCTTCAGACGGGGTTCGTGACGCCTCAAGCAACACATTTGAGCACACAATGCAAAGAACAGTTTCAAGTGGCACTCGAATTACTTATTGTAATTTCAATCGACATGTGAAATGTGATCTTATGAAAAAGAAATTATAATGAAAAAAAAACCATTCGATATATGACATTGTTTCTAGTTTTAAATTGAAGATATGACCCTCTTGAAATTTCCACGACTTGCTTCAATGTGTGCGATTTTATGGGTGTAATAGTAACTCGAATATGTGAAGAGTTCTTGAAAACTTTAAGTATTTGAGTAAACTGTCGAATCTAGTGATTGCGGCAGCTGTTTGACGAGATCTCGTCGGGTGGAGTCGTCAAATTGACGAAGAACTTTTACAGCTTGCGGCGTTGTGTGAGTTGAATCTATCAACTTAGATGTATTAATGGCTAAGACGGAACTAATAATATTTTATTTAATTTATGTTTGACACATGTTACCTGATCTATCAATAGTTAAATGTTTTCTTTTTAGAGCTATACAACTTCGACTTGACAATGCAGGTTTACTTGATAATCCATTTGATAATAGATAATTGGATTTTATGCCATTTAAATTGTCATTTTTTAAAGATAAATTTACAGCAGAATAATCCTTGCAAATTAATGCAATTTTTAAGAAAATATTTACTCTGTAAAATTTATCGTTATCAGCACTACATCCATTTTATGGCGTAGATAATGATGTAGTCAATTTCTGGCTGAATTGGCACATAAATAAACAAAATTGTTGCATTTAGAGTGCGGATAATTCGGTATCGAAACAGCATTGCAGCCACAGATATTGGTTCATGCGACTGCAAAACGATAATGATCAAGATTGTGATGATAGTGAAAATATATTAAATTACTAATAACAACCAGATCTTCTATTATTTCTACTTTGGAATTAAATGTTCTATCTAATAAACTCTTCCTCATTGATATTATGAATTTATTTTTTAAATTTATTATTAAACAAACTTGTATAACTCTAAAAAAAACTCTAAAACTCCATAATCCCAATTTATAATTATAATAAACTTTAGCCATTGTGATATAATTATTCTATATATAATCATTCAGCTAACTTTAAATTCCATACAATATATAATAATAGAATTATAGAAATACAATTTTCAATTGAATGCAAATTGTTTGAAGCGATAGAAGACGATTTAATTTATTCATCTGGATTTAAGCATATTCAAAATAGATTTGACTGCAGCATATTCCGTAGAATAGCATAATTCACAATTTCCGCAGCTTAAAAACTGTGCTCGCTCTAGCTTATGAATATTTACTAATTGAATTAATAAATATATGAATGCATATATTTTAAAGTACTGCATCATTTATCTGCCCATATATGTGTGCATATATTTGTTTATGTATTTCGTTTCCGAATGCTTAACGCATGTCAAAAGGTTAAATTGCTGTTTGGGAAGCCATGAACTAGACCCCTTTTGGGAAAAGCTGTTCGCTGGCATAGCTAAATAATTAATAAATATGCTGAAATATGAAAAATAGATGAAGTATATGGATATATGGTCAATGCGATGTTATTATTATAAATTGGTGAAGTGCATCTATGGACACAACTTCAATATATTTATTATAATTGAGCTCATGTTTGTGTGTTTGTGTCATAATTTATGCATGTATCGCAGAGTCGCGCTCTAATTTGGCTTAAAACTTTCAACTAATTTATGGTTTGCCAGCGAAAAAACATTGCACAGAAAGTGTTAACAAAAAGGCATTTGCCGTTTTGTTTATTGGCTGGGTCAGTGTGGTCATTAAAAATCAATTGGGCGTAGCCGCAGCACTGTGTTTGCTTTGAGTTTCCTGTGTAAAGGGCTTATCAGATAGCTGCATTTGTATCTATAGCCTGTCTCTGTCTCTGTCTCCGTATCTACGCACGTACAGCATGTACAATCGAGCGAAAACTTTGACACAGTTCGAGCCTGGCTGGCCTTCTCTCTAACAACAGCCCCGATGCGTTTGTATTTAGATTCGTATCTTGGTTACTTACTGCCCGCATCATGTCCGCTTATGTGATTGCCAGTTAGTCCCAGGGCCGAGAATTCGGATGGCTGCAGCTTCACCTCCATTTCCTTCAGACGACTGTTTAATTTGTTTGTGTGCATGAACAGAAAGAAGGTGCACGATATGGCCAGCAAGGCAATCAGCTCCACAGACCTGCAAAACACGTAGAAGAAGAGCAAATTGATGATTGAAACATTGTTAGTCAAAGGTTGGGGCCACAGCATACTATTTATGTAAACGTTGAGCTTTTGTAATTTACGCCAAATTGGTTTTTAGCAGCTATTATTTCATTTACACTTCGAATCGCCGTCACACACAGAGAGCTGCGATACTCTCACAGCTGCAACTGACCCCCTACCCTCCAGCTGCTGCTGCCCTTAGCGAGAACTACAAAGTATGCGCTGTGACAACATTTAATTAAGTTCTGACAAGCCAAAACAAACCAAAACAAAACAAAGAGCAGCGACAAGGAGCACTGCAGCAAAAGAAAGCAACTATAAAAATTATACAAGAAATTAACAAACAATATGCCTCGCAAGGTGCACAGCAGCGACGGCACTGTACAGTGGGTGCTAATAGATTGACTACAGAAGCAGTCGCTAGTAGCTGGGTTATACTAAAGAGTGTTACTATCTCAGCCATGGAAATATTTGATAAGCTTCGTCATTTGATCGGGCATCAGTTCTTGCGTCTGTAGAATCGAAAGTCAATTCAGTTTTAATGACTTATGTAAGACTTTTTGCATGATTTCCTATAGCAAAGCACGCACGTAACTTTGAAATGAAACCATAAACATTACATTTGTAGTTGTTTTGGTTTAATGCCAATTTGATTTTTCTATTTGGCTTGTTTGGTTAAACTTTATAAGGAGAATTTCTGTAAGAGTTGTGCCATAATTAAAAGTCATGATTGATGTGGATGGACTAGCTATATATAAAGATAATATGCAATATATATAAAAAGGCATTAGCTTAAAATCATGCTCAATTATAGCTTGATTATAATTTAACTGCATCAAATTAATATTTATTTTTTGGGAAATCGCTTTAAAATTTTGATTTTTTATAATCATTTTTTATACATTTTTTAAATTAATTTTTTATACATTTTTTAGTTGCATAAATTTATAATTTCATGTTTTTTTTTGTTTCAAACAAATTTCAAGTACAGCCAGCAGCAAAGTTTTAAAGCAATGCACCATTTGGTAGATGCGGCCCATGCCACAGGGGCTAAGCTGGTCGCCGCAGACCGGAAGCAGCTTCTTGCTGGCCTCTATTTTTTTTTGCCTGCACACTTTTTGAAACATTTTTCGCTGCTTATTTTATATTCTCCATTCTGTTGGGTTGATAACAAAACAAAGCTAACAAAGCAACACAAAAATAAACCAAGTCGAAATTGCAATGCAAACTGTTTTCTTTGGGCAACTTTTTTAATGCAGCTGTCGAGGCATCACAAAAGAAAAAAAGAAGCAGAAAAATTAAAAGCAAAAATATTTTTTACTGTTTGCTTTTGTTGGCATAAATCTACCGACAGATAGCAGTAGCAGCAGCAGCAGCCATAGAAAATAAAATAAACAAAAATAAAGAAATACGTTGGAACAACTAGTATCAAAATAATAATGACAATAAATGCGGCTATAGGAAAAAGCAAAATGGAGAAAAAAGAGAGCGAGAGATGCTAGGCGGAGTTTTGTGAAGTTTTGTCGACTGCTTGTTGTTGTGGGGCAGTTGCTGGCTTAGTTTTCATCAGGTGCAAAAAGTAATTTATTTCAAATGACTGCACTAGCTGCCACTGAGTAGAAGTTGAAAGTGGAGCCGGCGCACAGCTTGGGCCAGCTTTGGTAAGTGGTAAGTGTAGCCGTTCGCCTGCTCCAAATCGCAGAGCTAGAAGCGAAAGGCTGACTTTCATGTGGCCAGGCAAAAGGCAGTCAGCCAGTCAGGCAGCCAGGCAGTCAGTCAGGTAGGCAGTCAAATGAAATGTATCTGACGGATCTGACACCGTCGCCGGCATGGCCATAAGGCGCTTTAGCTTTTTGGCCACCTGCTGTGCGCACTTAGCTCAGTTAGTTCTGGTCGTGGGTGTTTATTTCATTAGCCGAGCATACACAGTTGATGCCGAAAGTTTGCGTACCAAAAACATTTTACTTATGTTTTGTTTGACGACATTGCGCCCCATCATTTCACTCCGCCTCCCTCCCTCTCACGCACACTCACACCAGCTTCATCTTTGTGCGCCAACTTATTGTTAAAGTTGACACTAAAGTGCGCCGCAAATCCCACTTAAGAGCTGCTTCTCAGATCTCAGTCACGCCCCCCCACCCCACCGCCCGCAGCAACTTTAACTTGTTGTTCTGTACAACTTTTTCCGCTTCTTTTTTTCTCGTTTGTTCAGAAATTTATTGACATTTTGTTTTTGCTCCGCGCGCGTCCCCCCAAGGGCCGCATGGCGTGTAAATGCCGAAAGTTATGTGATTATTAAAATAATTTTACGTGACTGCGTCGATTTCTTTTTCGGACATAGTAGTCAACACATTGTGCCGACTCCAACTCGAATTCGGATTCTGTTTGGATTCCAGTTTCAGTTTGAGTTGCCAACTGGCAACTGGCAACTGGCAACTGCCAACTGGTGACGGCCAACTGGTGACTGCAGTTCGTTTGCTGCCACGTACCACATGTGCCTGCCATTAGGGACCTACACTTGGTTCGTTAGCGTTTTTTGTGTATGCCTGCGAAACGAGTTCTATTTCTATTTCTGCTTCTCTCTTTCTATTTCCCATGCATTTCTATGTGTTGGGGATCGTGGGAGCAGCGCATGTCGCTGATAACTATGCTGGACGCTAGCACTGCGAAAAATGAGGCGCACGAGTCGAGTCATAGAACTATAATTCCATATTGATGCCATTGATCACACGTTTGTAATCATGTTAAAAAAATTAAATAAAAATTGAATTTAAATTGAATTCAATTTAATCATTTTAAAATAGTAATTAAAAATTGAATTTAATAATAACTACTCTTATCTGACTTTTATGTTACATTTAGGTAGTATTTATATCTTGTTTTGCAAATAAAACGATTTAAAATGTTATACGGTTTCTTGGTTCTAGTCTTCCATTGTTTAGAAATATGAATAAGTATGATAACAATTTTTTAAAAATTTATAAAAAAAATCATTTACTGTATTATTTTTATATTTTTAAAAATATTTTTAATTCACTTTTTAAAGTCAAACATTTTATGATATATTATTAATCATCTTAAAAATTAAAATATTAAACATATGTTATTGATATTAGAGATAAAAAAATAATGTTTACTAAATTTTAGGATATTCTATATAATATATTACATTATATTATAAAATATCTTTCTATAAAAAAACTTAAAAAACAAAACAAATAATTATTATAAGCTTAAACATGTATTTTTAATGCCTTGAATGATAAAAAGTAAAAAAAGAAGTTTTAGAGCTTTAAATTATTTTTAAATAATATATATACGATTTTTTTATTAAAATTAAAAAGAAATTAAAAAAAAAATTTAATTTAAAACCTATTTTTATTGCTTAAGAAATTTATTTTAAGCTTCAAATTATGTTTAAAAACATTAGTAAAAATCAGTAGTAAAGTCCAATATTTTTAACTTTAATATATTTTTTTATTATTAAAATTTGACACATTATACTCTAGACTTTAAATATATATTTAAAACTTCAAGCAATTCGCACAAAAAATTAACTTAATTCAAAATCTACCATCAAATTTTTATAACAGTAAACGAAACTGTTCCATTAGGTGATCCGCAATCAATTTAAGTGAAGCGAACTGCAAATTTATTTAGAAATCATGCAAAGAATCAGCTCGTGAGCAGCGTTCCAACCTCTTCCCCCCTCGAGCTGATTGCGCTGCACACACAACACTGAAATGGCGCACGCCTTTCACTTCCAGTGTTGCCTAAGCGAACGAAAGAAATAATAGAAAGAAAAAATGGGAAAAAAAACTAAGCAAATGGCAGCAGCAACAGTTGCCGCATGCAAATTGCTCGCCATTTCCGTTCACTGTCGTTTATACGTAAGCTCAACTGCATCATAAGTAATTTAATTAAACGATGGTAAATTTTCCAACTAATCAAACTGCAAAAATGCACAAACGGCAGTCAACAAATTGTGGCACGTCGACCATTAGAAGCGATACATACAGCCAGCCAGGCAGCCAGCTAGTTAGTTAGTTAGTTGACTTCATGTGCAGCCCGGCGCAACGATAATTCCCGTAAATTGACAAAAATTTATAAGTCATTTGTTGATTTGAGCATTTGCTCGAGCATTTTGCGCAATCTTTATTGACCCAAATGGGGATGCCACACGCAGCGTGTGGCAAAACGATTTAGCAACGGCTTCAGCTTTAGTTTCAGCATCGAGTTAAGCCTCAGCATCGGCTGCACCTTCCCAGCTTCAGCTTCGATTTCAACTGCAGCTCCAGCAAATATTGACATCAGCTTTGGCTTTAGTTTCAGCATCGATTGCAGCTTCAGTCTCACTTGGCTTTAGCTTCAGTTTCAGTATTGACATCAACTGCTGCTCAGCTTCTGCTGCGAATATTCACATCAGCTGCAGCTTTGAATTCTGCATCAATTTTAGCTTTGGCCTAAGACTTGGTCTTAAGTTTTAGTCATCTACTTTAGCTTCAGCTTCTATATTGACATTAGCTTTAATCAGTTTAACATCGACTTGACATCAGCTGCACTTTCAGTTTCAGTGAGTGCTACAGTTCACCTATGGCATCAGCCTTAACGTTGGCTTCAGCCTCAGCTTTAACCTCAGCTTCAGTTTCAACTTCAACTTCATCTTCAGTTGCAGCATGTTTGACATCAGCTTCGGCTTTAGTTTTAGCATTGAGTTCAGCTTTAGCTTCAGTTTTAACATCAGTCTGATGTAGCCTTAGCTTCAGTTGCAGCATTGATATCAATCTCTCCTTTAACTTACATCAGCTTCAGCTTCAGCTGTGTCATCAGCTTTAAAGTTAGCTTCAGCACTGACATGAGCTTCAGCCTCAACTACATCTCAGAGCTCAACATCAGTTTTTGTTTTGATATCAGCTTTAATTTTTGCCACTGCTTCAGCTTTAGGTTTAGTTTTGACATAAGTTTAAGTTTCAG